ATTTTTATTTATTTTTATTTATTTTTATTTATTTTTATTTATTTTTATTTATTTTTATTTATTTTTATTTATTTTTATTTATTTTTATTTATTTTTATTTATTTTTATTTATTTTTATTTATTTTTATTTATTTTTATTTATTTTTATTTATTTTTATTTATTTTTATTTATTTTTATTTATTTTTATTTATTTTTATTTATTTTTATTTATTTTTATTTATTTTTATTTATTTTTATTTATTTTTATTTATTTTTATTTATTTTTATTTATTTTTATTTATTTTTATTTATTTTTATTTATTTTTATTTATTTTTATTTATTTTTATTTATTTTTATTTATTTTTATTTATTTTTATTTATTTTTATTTATTTTTATTTATTTTTATTTATTTTTATTTATTTTTATTTATTTTTATTTATTTTTATTTATTTTTATTTATTTTTATTTATTTTTATTTATTTTTATTTATTTTTATTTATTTTTATTTATTTTTATTTATTTTTATTTATTTTTATTTATTTTTATTTATTTTTATTTATTTTTATTTATTTTTATTTATTTTTATTTATTTTTATTTATTTTTATTTATTTTTATTTATTTTTATTTATTTTTATTTATTTTTATTTATTTTTATTTCACCACTTATCTACTGCTTTAAAATAATGAAAATTCAAATCCCTGTAACACGTCAGTAGCTACAATTCCAATTTTCAAGTTCCTACCTTTAAAAAATCTATACCCCGTACAAACTTTCACCCACAATTTCCTCCCCTTAAAATGTAAATATCCAAAAACCCTTCAATACATATTTATTTATAATGAGTAGCTGTAGCTCAATTCCAAATTTTCAAATTCCTACCGTTAAAACAATCTATACTCCCATACAAACGTTCACCCCCCTTAAAAAGTAAAAATCCAAAACTTTTGTATTACGTCATTATTTATTTATATATTTATTTTTAGAACTGATTTAAATTCCCGCCACTCTCGTGTATATGCTGTGACACAGCTGTGCATTTTAACGAGACCTTAATAGTAGCACCCGGTTCCACACAGTGCGCATGCGCTCGCGACGTCACGTCTTTTTACGTCTACGGGCTAGTAAGTGGCAAAGTAAAGTGGCTCATACACCAATCAAGAAATGATTCCATACACTAATAAACATCGTTTGCATGGCCTTTTAAGTTTGTGCAAACTCTGTTAATAATAGTATGGATGAATTAGGTAAAATGAATTGAAAAAGATAGGAATTTATAAAGATAAATAGTTTCCTCTTGATTAAAATAAAAATGCCTTTAAAAAAACACAGCTTTATTAAACATCATTGAAAATCTTGATCATTACAGTAAAAATGATCATGTTTAATAGAATCAGTTGAAATAAACAGTGGAGATCCATCAAGAACATTTTTAATATTTTTCATATCTTCACGATTTGGTTTCTTTATCCTATCCTTTATCTTGTTTCTTTTCTTTTTGGTTGAAAAAAACTTAATTTGTTTTTTAATATTTTGCCTGCAGTCTGCATTTTTATCCTTGGCAGCAAAAAAACTGGATTTCATCATCTTTTGATGCCAACTCTAATAAGCCACTAGCATTTCTTAAATTCGACAATGCCTGCGAGAGATATTCTTGGTTGGCACCGGTTAGGTTGGTTGTGTTTAATTTGGTATGAAGTATCGAGACTTCGTTATTGAGTTTTTCCTTTAAATCGGAATAATTGCTTTTTGTGTTGTTTAATGATGACAAACATTGTGAAATATTTGAGTTAGTAATGTCACAATCATTATTGTTTATTTCAGTCGAGGTATTAGATGTGCAGTTCTTTAGTGCAACAAAATGAATGTGTTTGCAAATTGTCGACCTAATAAAAAAATCAGGACAACTACAGGTAAAAGAATGGAGGCAAATATTGCAATATTCACACGTCAAATCGCAACATTTTGCTGGCAGCTTTTTTTCTATTAAGTATTCTGCATCATTACTAATAACTTTCCATTTATTTTCTTCCAGTGATTCTAAAACTGAAGAAATTGTCAACGAAACTCGATGTCGATTTAGAATATTCCTTTTCTGTGCAGTGTATTTTCCTTTTGTATGTTTAATCATTCGATCAACTACTTTGTCTCTTAAATACGTTACAACGGCATGCAGGCCTTTATCCAGACGTTTTACAGTTTTTTTATGCAAATAAAAATATTTAACAGTGCGATGCATGCTTTCTAGTCGCATATTTGTGTTTATACCACACTGCATGCGATAACAGTAAGCCCATTGTTTACAATTATTTGAATAATTATTTACAAAATAGGCACCAAAGTTTTTTGTGTCACTGTCTCCTAGCAATTTCTCTAAAGTCACTTTCAAATGAGCTTCAAAATTTTCACAACTCAGTTCAGTCTGCAACATTTTTAAGGTTTTGTACACCCATCTCCTTTTTTCTTTCTTCAAGGTTTTAGGTAAATTTAATTGCCACGCTTTGTCTATATGCCACGTGCAATACAGATGATGTAATGCAACCCCCATGACACAAACCCAAGCATTATAAAAAACATGAGTAATATCACTCATGAAAGTATTAGTCTTGATGGTTCCTGCTTTCTTTTTGACACAACTGAACAATATCTTATGAACTTCGGTATCCTTTCTATTGGTAAACATGAATGCAGTAGGGAATCCTTCACCAAACTCATCAACAATCATAATGGTTGTTAGTTCAAAATCATAATTGTTTAGCCCGTGAGTGCTGTCTACAGCAATTATATTAGATCCAAACTTTTCCAGCATATATTTTTGGTAGTCGGTCATCAGGACCAAACAAAAATCAGAATCATTAAAATTATCCATTTTATGACCCTGTTTTTTATAAAACAAAACAATATCTTCTCCACTAGTTTTACATTCTTGCACCCACAAATCTATACTTATTGAATCATTTGTATGTTTAACTCCTTCCACAATATCTAGCTTGAAACGATTTTTAATATTTAATACATCTTGTCTTGTCATTATATCAGCCCTTTTTATTGTCTTTTCTATTTTCTTCCGATTAGTATCCAAAATTCTGAAAAGTAATACATATGTATACAGTGCTTCTCAAAAGTCCCTCCCCCCTCATTTCTTTTGAACGGTGGTACTTAGACTGATGAAATTTGGAGGGTAAAAATGAACTATTGTAAGCTTGTCTACTAGTGGTAAATGGTGACGTAATAGGCATCGGTGACGTCACCAGGCCACTAAAACCAATAATATTAAATGGGACCTTATGGCAAGTGGCATCTCGTTTAAAGGGTATTTAGAATACCTATTCAGTCATACTATTTTTTTTGGATTTACGATGTTTTTTTTAATAATATTGGTTTCAGTTGCCTGGTGACGTCACATATTACGTCACCTGTTACCACTAGTACAGAAGCTTACAATAGTTCATTTCCACCCTCCAAATTTCATCACCGTTCAAAAGAAAAGAGGGGGAGGGGACTTTTGAGAAGCACTGTATATATAGGTTTTTCTTTGATTCTTTTTATTCAAATAATTTTACCTTGAAGTAGAGGCTCCATTTATGAGTTGTGATGCTACGACTTGGCAAGTTTTATCACTTAGACGAAGGTGTTGTATTTCAATCTTGTGACCATAATGGGTTTTTATCCTTTTCATTTTAATTTTTCCCTTATCATCTATAAGGACGCGAATCTGACTTGTACAATTCCATTCTAACTTGGAGACTCCTTGAGATTTTGTTAGACGTTTACGCTGCTGCATCTTTTCAGAGAGTTTAGTCTTGTTCTTAGATGCATTATTATTTACTGAAAATAATAAAATACTGATATATTTTTTCAGTTATTAGTGTTTAAGTAACTACTCACTACTTCTGTTGCACACATAGTACAATAATTGATGACTGATCCCCATCCTATTTGTAACAGATTTTCTTCCGCGAGGAGATACATAGTTACAATTTTCATTTATTTCAGTTTCTTCTTTCCATATTTTAAAATCTAAAAATCAAAATAATAAATGTAGGTATTAAAATATTGTAGACAATAGTCTTTCTACGATAAATTTAGCTTAGCAAAAAAATTCACTTGCCATTAAACGTTTGAAAGTGCAACTCTTCAACAAGAAACTCAAGGCCGTGTTTATCCCTTAAATGGTCCACCAAATCTTCGTTTATCCGAAAAGAATCATTACACTTGGATTCCAAACATTTGTAACTATGTACACTCTTATCACATGAAAATTTCGCTGGTGGAGCATTGTGAACATTTTTCCGGTGTTTATTTAGATTTTTTTGACAACTGTATATTTTATCACACACTTCACAAATTACGGGCATGATTCAATCAATTTTTTACACCAAATAGTTAAGGGTCACTGAAATTAATTAGCTTGTTTATTTTTATTTGTAAGGACTTTTATTAGGCATTTCAGTTTCACGATATTAGGGCATTTCAGTTTCCAAAATCCCAAACATAACCACAAAATCACAAATTGGTGTGGCCATAGTGCGCGTGCGCATACTATGGAACCGGGAGCTACTATTAAGGTCTCGTCGATATTAGGGCATTTCAGTTTCCAAAATCCCAAACATAACCACAAAATCACAAATTGGTGTGGCCATAGTGCGCGTGCGCATACTATGGAACCGGGAGCTACTATTAAGGTCTCGTGCATTTTACTAATGAAACGGAATCTATACCTATGCACAAGTCATGTGGGTCTGAATTATTATGATTCGAGTATTGCCATTTTGAACATGAAGATTATGCTTCATTGAATCACTTTTTTTGTATTTTGTTACTTTCTTGGAATAATTTCTGAAAATACACAAAATTGTGATGCTGATATAGTTACAGATATTTTTTGGCTAATATCTTTGATTGAAAGAAAAATGCACCTTTCTTAAACCTAGAGAATGTGCTGGCAACAACTTTGTCATCAGAACCCTTCAATATAAAGTGAATTATTTGTGCAAAAATCGTTTGCAAGTAACTTACCTCTAGGCACACTGGAATGCCTCCTACTATGAAATCCTCCAAACCCAGTCACCGAAGCATTCCTGGAATCAGAAGTCAATTTAGGACTTCTCCTGGGCCTACAAAACAAAGGAGGCAACTCCCCCAAATCCACTTCTCTCTTCTGTATCGCTTGCTCAGTAGCGCCCGTTAACCAATAAGTCTTCACATCACCTTTACCCTTTAGACTCACTATACCGCGTTCTTCGATTATATAACCTCCTAATTTATCCAATGCATCTTTACACTGTTGGCTGATATGGATCTTCAGTGGTTCCCCATTACTTTCCATGCGAGATGCTGTGTTAACAGTATCACCGAAGAGGCAGTAACGAGGCATTGTCAAACCTACGACCCCTGCCACGACTGGGCCTGAAAATAAGGTGGTGGCATTCAGTATAATTTTTAAAATAATTTAGAATTCATATTACTTGAGGTTAAAACTACGTTCAGTGGAAAATTCCGAATTTCTTAACTAAATTTTGATGTTTAATAAAGAAAGTAATTTTCTGGCAACGTGTAGTCCATTAAATTTGGCAATACAAGTTGTTGAAAACGGTAATTAGTGTCGTCAACTTTGGATACTAATTTTGTTTTTGAAAAAATAAGAATGAAAAACAACGTGGTAAAGAATTATCGCTAAAAATACATAAAAAATTAAGAGTTTGATGATTTTCTTATGAACCCCATTATTAGATCGTGGCCAAATTTATATGAGATCACCCCTCAAGTATCCCCTGTCTCTCCAAAAATGAATCATACAAATGAGACAACGTAGTAAACAATTATCGCTGAACATAAATAAAAAAAATCGAGATTGATTCAAAAATATAATATAAACAAAAATTAAAAAAAAAACAATAGAAAAATTTTTTAAAATACCTTGAATTTAAGAAAAAAAAGTTATTTGTAATTGTTACTATAATAACGGGGAAGAATTTCGGAAAACTTTTTCATCTTGAGTACCCTAAGCGTGATTACACTAAAAAACTTTTATTTTACATCCACATGGATATTAGCTTATCTACTCATAGACTACAAAACGAAAAAGTATGCCATTGCGTTCAACTGAACGAATATATTTCATATATATTCTATGGAACACTGAAAAAAATATTAAATTCACCAATCACAATTAATATTTTGGTCACCCATCTATTATTATTTTTTAAATTTTATATAAGTGACAATTATGTCAAACTAATTGTCAGTATATTTTTTTAGTTATTGAGATTTAAGGCCAATTTATAAACTTGCAGTTGCAGTTACCGCTCGCAGTTGCAGTTACCGCTCGCAGTTGCAGTTCCCGTTGAAAGTTAAAATGCTATTTTCACATTTCCGCATTTATATTCTATGTTGCTGTCACCGTTTGCTGTTATACACGACGTTTCTTGACGTTCAAACATAACAAAGTTTTAAGTTTTGCAGTTCACCGTTCGTGCCGTTCGCATATTAACCAATAAAAATCCTGGACTTTCGAAAAACACAGAAGTATTCGAAGATTATCTACATAGATAACTTCATTCATGTTTCTCAATTAAAAACGGCACTTAATGAGAACTCAAAACGAAAATCGCGCAACATTATGATTTAACGTCAGATTTTTCCTCTTTTCATCTTACTTTGATTTATTTTTAACCGACTTCAAAAAAGGAGGAGGTTATCAATTCGTCGCGATATTTTTTTTTTTTTTTTATGTATGTTCAGCGATTATTCTTTAACACGGTGTCCGATTTCAATGATTTTTTTTTGTTAGAAAGGGGGTATTTTAGGGGTGGTCCCATATAAATTTAGTCAAAATCTAATAATTGGGCCCATGAGAAAATCCTCAAACTCTTCATTTTTTATGTATATTCAGCGATAATTTTTTAACACGGTGTCCGATTTCAATAATTCTTTTTTTGTTAGAAAGGGGCTACTTTACGGGTAGTCCCATATAAATTTGATTAAAATCTAATAATTGGATCCATGAGAAAATCCTCAAACTCTTCATTTTTTTATGTTTGTTTAGCGATAATGCTTTACCACCTTGTCCGATTTATACGATTCTTTTTTATTAGTAAGGGGGTACCTCAGGGGTGGTTCCATATAAATTTGATTAAGATGTGGTAATGGCATCTGCACGTTTTTGAAGTCGGTTTTTTTTAATTTTTAATTTGTAATACTTGTGGCATAATCGATTAAATTATCTACCTATCACATAACGGCGCCAAACGTCAGCTTTATAAATTATGAATATCAACGGCAACTGTAACGTCAAACAGAAACAGGAACGCGAACGGTAACGGCGAAGGAAACTGCAAGTTTATAAATAGACCTTAAAAATACGTAGTGTAATGAAGTCAATTTTCCTCAATCAATTTATTTTCATTTTTCATTTTAATAATAAATATTTAACGCGGTGTGAAGTGTCAGTTAATTCACCAGCGCGAGCGCCGATCGAGAATCGTGCGCGGTGGTCTGTCTTTAAGTGGGATTTCTGATAGGAGAGGGAACCAATTGTTTCAACGAGAGCGGAGATGCTATTAAAATTATGAGTTCGATATAATTTTTGATTCCGAGCAGTTGACTCTAATACACCGCTTTAGATATCAAATCACCGCCGATATTTTTTCCGTTTTCTTGTATTTACAAATCCGTTAGTTAAAAAACCTTGTTCCGCTTTTCACGTTGGAAATTGAGACCGTATTTCATTTTAAATAGCAAATTAGTTTGTAGGAATAGGAATATTTTTATAGATAGTGTTTAGATAAAAGATTTAGTTTGATTTCCTTAATAAACATTTGAATTTATTTCTTGACAAATATTCCGTTTCTTTAAAAAGGGATATAATTTGAATTAAATATTAATTGATAGGATTTAATTCTGTAATATTGTAAAACCGGGGATTTTAGACTTTTGATTGTTAGTCGGTTTTAAGAAATTATTCATTTTCTTTTGATAGGTTAAATCGGGATTTACATTTGATTTTATTCATAAATACTTTTGTTTAGTAAGTACCGCGTTGTAATTAAGTTGAGAATATTTATAAACTGAGTTTTCGAGGAGACATTTTCCCTCTTTTATTAGTTTGTTTATTTCTTTTACCGTATATTTGAATAATCTTAAATAGCATCCTGTCCTGGTCTAAACGGGCTCGTGATGACGATCAGTTCACCCTTGGAGTAGGTGCTATCCGCGTTATAATTTTTTTTAGTTAATTTGTAAACCGCAATTTTTAAATAATTTTAAATAGTATCTGTGTGAACGGGCTCGTGATGACGATCAGTTCACTCTTGGAGTAGGTACTATCGGCGTTAGTTAATTTTCTTCCCTCCGATAATAATTTGTTTTTCTCTTTTTCCGACAATTTAAATAACTTTAAATAGTGTCCTGTCCTTGTCTGAACGGGCTCGTGATGACGATCAGTTCATTCTTGGACTAGGTGCTATCCGCGTTAGTTTTCTTTTCCCCTTCATATTCTTCATTTTTTTTTTGGTGCAAACTGCAAGTTGTAGAATTTAAAAATAGCTTCATTACCCTGTCTGAGCGGGCTCGTGATGACGATCAGCTCATTCTGGGATAATAGGCTACCCCGGGTATAAATTTATTTTTATTTTCTTTCCGTGTATTTACTAAGTAATTCTTTCGCGTCTCTGTCTCCTCGCACTCTCTTCGACCGTTTAATTAATGTTTCCTCACCTAAAGAGCAAAATAACTACATTTTAGTTTAATTCCCGATACCGCGGTTAAACAGTTATTTACCGAGCGAATAGCTAAGTTAATTTTTTTTTATTTTCTCTGCGACCGAAATATACATTTTAATTTACTTTTGACGTCTGATTGAGACTAGTCGCGAATCAATACCGTCCGTTTTGTTTCTTTTTTTTTTATATTCAGGGTTATATTGACTATCACCACAACTGGGGTGGGCGTTGAAATATTTAATTTCTTTTTTTTTATTGTAAATATATATGTGTCAATGTTAACCTGCCGTATTACTGGTTAATAATTCCCTACTTTATTTCCCCCTTATATTTCAGCTAGTGATAAATTCTGTACGAGCCCAAGCAACGATTAAAGCCCGTTACTACTATTACCTGTGTCTAAGTGACCTTTGACCCCTGGAATTTTTCATCTCCATCTGTAGCTACCCGAGTACTTTCGACGCCGTTTCGAAAGTTTGTGGAGTAAACCATCATCAAAAATCTGGCGCTCGAGAACCGCCCGTAACCAGCGTCATTCGTAAGGAACCGTTTTCTCTGTGGCGAGAAAACCCCTTACAGTAGCAATGAGTTAATTTTGTGAAGAATCGATAAATAATAATTTTGTCCACATTTAGAAATAAATCTTAAATTTTAATCAAATTATATGAAACTAATTTAATAACGAGTATTAAAACTAAAATGTGTCTTAATGACCTAAAATAATTTTTTAAATTTGTAGATTTTCGTTAGTGAGTCGTAGAAAAAATATACTGTACAAGTCGAGTAAATTGTCCATATCCACTCTTGTTGCACAAACTACTATTGTCAAATGCACAGATTACTTATTTTTTTACAAATATTATTGCCTTTTTCATTTAGAGGAGCTGTCAAATAATGCAAAATGTATTAGCAATTTAATTATATATGCAGCCTAACTTTTAAAAATATACTAAAGTTTTAAACACCTTGTATTACAACATTTAAATACTTCCGAAATTCATCTATAGTTCGGGATCTGGTTCGGGATACACTGAGAATGCAGTATGGCCAGGCATAGGCAATGTATTTCTAATAGCCGGAGAGCTAGTAACACACATTTCTAAGTGTTTGATGCACTTTGAAATTTTGTAATTTGAAATCATTTGGATGGAAAAGCAGATATACCTGTGTTGGCTAGACCCACCCCGGGACACCAGGTACTGCGCATAATAGAAAGGGGTCGTAAAATATGACCCAAAAAAAGTGTTTGATTCAGAGGCTAACAAACAACAATTGAAAGTTTAGGTAATTCTAAAAATACTAGTAATTTAGGCAGACACTTTTGAGAGGGTTTATAATTGATAAATCAACCCCAAAGTTGATTTTTTTTAAATATGATTTAAAGTGTTTCAATTACGCTGAAATTTTAATAGCGTCTTAACTAAATATAAAAAAAATTAATTCCAAAAAGGCAGACACTTTTTCCGAGGTTTAATTGCCGGCCAACATAAAAATGAATGAACCTCGTTATGCGTCACTATGCATTGAATAAGTATATACTTTTTAAAAACTAAACATTTTAAATTATCAAGACTGAAATAATAAAACAATATTTTTCCTTTTTTTTTTTTTAGGAAAAAAAAAAACTAAAAGTTTCGGGACTCGAACCACCAACTTGCTATCCACACTATCAAAATTTGGATAATTTTTTATAAAACTAACATTCCAGTAAGATATTTTACTTTATTATAGAAGGTCAATAAGTATGGAACATGAAAAATAGCTAGAAATTTTGTAAGAAGCAAATCTTTCGTATATTTTAGTAGTTAAAGTATTAAGTATTGATAATCTGTGATGCATTACAAATATTCAGGTAATTCATTTTTAATCAGATCATACAAGAACGACTGTACTAATATGATATTTTTATAAAAAATTCCTAAGCTTCCGTTAATTTTAAGATATTTGTTACGGTTCGTTGACAGTTACAAAGCCTACTGCGCAATTTTAGTTTCGTATAGTTCGTACTCAAAATGTCATTATTTTTAATTTAATAGTAGTATTTTGGTGTGAAATTTTCTTACCGAATCTCCCACGATCTTGAATTAATGATCAGAAACTTTTCTTCGTGAACGATTTTTTTAAAGAAAATCGTGGAAACATTTTTGGTAATAATCCAAGCTCTAGAGAGATCACTTGTGATAAAATGATAATTTCGAGGAAATAATTATTGAACAATCAAGCAAGTAGGTAAAAAAATTACAAGGTTTGAAGAACAAATTATAAAAAGAGCAAATTGAGATGAAAAATGTATCTTACCTGTATGGACCCCAACTCTTAATTTCAATGGCTCGTTGGGCCTATGTGATATTGAATGTGATTTTACGGCATTCAGTAATTCTAAAGACATAGATGCTATCTCGCCTGCATGTTTATTTTCATTTTTAATCGGCAATCCAGAAACCTGTAAAAAAGTTTGTTTTAAAATGTCTAACAGTCCATGACAATTGTGTAGGCTAAAAAAATATTTTCAAAAGAATAGTTCCGAAAAAAAATTATAGGAATATCGTTTTCGTTATTGAATTTTAACATTTTCTATTTCTAAATAGATGCTAAAAAACAAATTAAACACCAACAAAATGTAAGGATATGCTTTCATACATCTGTATAATAAAGAAAACATCATTAGAATCCTCTAATTAGCAACTATATAAAAACGATTAGTGCTTGCCCTTATAGTTCATGTTCTCGATCTATGAAATAACTTCCTTCCATAACGCCAACAAAGCTATGTACCAGGAGTCCAAATAAGAAAGGACGCCGGTAGTGGGCAGCTGTAGGATACAGTCGGTATCTTAGAAAAAATGAGTCGCAGAATTTTGGAAACAACAAATAAATAGAAAAGCGATCTAGACGAATCGGTAGAAAATATTTTCAAGTTGCTAAATTCGATACTAGATGGCGTAATTCTGATGATCAATGATAAACAGATAAACGAGTGGGCAGTCAAAATTGACATTAATATTTCGTAAAGATAACGATTTTCATATTTTTGAAACTTAATTTGGCTTTAAAAAAATCTGTTCTTATCATTGGTCATAAGCATTACGCAATCTAGTGTCGAAGTTAGGATCTAAAATACTATTTTCAGCTATTTTTAGGAGCCACTTTTGTTGATAAAAAATCTCAGATCTGTAGGATAAACAATTTCTTGGATATGGCCGGCGTCCTTTCTTACTTGGACACCCGGTATTTATACCAAAAATCCCTTTTTTAGGTAACATAACATTAATATCATTATCAAAGCAATAAAATTGTTGGCCAAGAATAAAATTAATAAATTCAGCAGTAATTCCAAAACAATACCACTGACATGTTTGACAGAACTGGCAATTAAGTTGTAATAAAAGTCACTAAAATTTTCGCTCTGCCACTGATAGCTTTTGTTTTTTCTCCCATAGAGCCAAAAATATTGACAAGATTATTCCGCGTTTTTGAGAAGTTCCTTTATTTGAAAATAATATTAGATGTTTTTGTTATTTGCACTTCTTTCCACAAGAAAAGCTTTACTGTTCTCACTACTATTATAACGAGCCATCGAGAACATTCATAATTGGAGTTGGCTGTCAAATTGAAATGTTTTGGGTTGCTACTTTAACCATTTCCGCAATGACATTTTAACTTTGAAATTGAAACTAAACGTTTGTGTCAACGTTTTGTCAAAACTTTTATTAAGAAAATTAAATTTAAAAAACGGTATTCAACACAGAGAAAAAAGCAAAAATTATCGAACGTTACTTCCGTACAGGTGTGACAGTAAATGGTGAGTGGCAGTATTCAATTCCAGAATACAAAGCTGTTTTTCTTGAAGAATATCCTGAAGCAGCGTTGACTATAATAGTTCTTTCAATGTTTTGACGAATTCTGTGAAGTTATTCAAAGAAAGTGGTAGCGTCTGTTGAAAAACTGAAAAACGTTTGGCATGTTATTGATAAAAATCCAGTAGTGCCCCAACAAACAAATTGTTTTATGACACATGCCAACTTATTCTAAAAAGTGGGTATTTCCAACAAGATGGTGCAACAGTACCTACGTTTAGACAAACAATTCAATAGCTTGGAGAATTTCTTCACGACAAAATAATAACCAGGAACACTGAAATCACATATCGAAAATTCGATTTTTTCAACGCCAGTTCTTAATCTGGAAGAACTGAGAAATCGCATAACAGAAAAGTATGAAGAGATTAACAGCGCAGGCAAATGTTGCATAACGTTTTTGCTGGATTGTTGAGAAGAATTGGTTTAGTGTGAAGAGATCAACAGCGCACGGCAAATGTTGCATAACGTTTTTGCTGGATTGTTGAGAAGAATTGGTTTATGTTTAGATGTAAATGCACAACATTTTCAACAATTTCTGTATTTTCATATAAAATTTGATTTCTATATTTAATGAATTATTTGTTTCTTTTATGATTTTTGTCGATGGCTAGTTACAAAATTAACGGTAGATTATAACCATTCCAAACAAAAAGTATTTTAACTTTTATTTAATTATTAAAAGGAGTAGCCTTGAGTAAATTAAGTTTATTTAAAGTGAAGGAAATAAAAGTCCTTTTTATCTTACATTGATATGTATAATGGGACACTATATTATCTAATCCATTAGGTCTAGGGTATGAATTGAAGAGAAAATAAATAAAAAAATCAACCTAAAATCGTAGGAGGAAATTTCACGAAAATATTAATAATACATTAAGTATAATAATCTTTAACTTCTAAATTAAATATTATCAGGTACTTGTACCATTATTAAAATTTAAAATTATTAAAAACGAGAAATGAATATGACAATTAACAAACGTAGACAACAATGTGTCATTAGTAACAACACATTCAAGTTAATATCACAAGCTCATAAGTATAGTTTTCATAAATTTATACGGATAGATAATTTTTTTTAGACAAAGGTGAATTTACACGAGTGTCCCATCACAAGGAAGTCTTTCTATATTATAATAATAGCTTCTAATTATCTGTGATAATCATTACTTCAAGGTTCCTAATATTTGAAAATCAATTCCCCTAAACAATAAAAATTGTTTTTAATTAAATTCTGTAGCTTCTTTCTGTTTTTCGGTTCTATGTTGTATACAAATTAACTAACCACCATGTAAGCATCTCCTATAGTTTCCACCTTATAAACGTCGTAACCTTTGATGATACTATCAAATACTGTATAGAGATCGTTGAGGAAATTGACAACTTGGAGGGGGGTACTTTCCGCTGACATGGCTGTAAAACCGACAATATCACTGAAGTAGATGGTTACTTGATCGAAAGATTCTGGTTCTACGCCCATGCCTTTGGTCAGTTTTTGTGCAACAGGTCTAAAACACAAAAAAAATATTTATTAAAAATTTAAAAAAAAACGTGTTTCCTTGTATTGTTATTATGATACATTTGTGATCTTACGAAAAATTAAAAATATAGAATGGAAAATGGATTTGTTAAATACTAATATTTGGTGTTACTTACTGAGGTAACATTCTATGTAATAAATCTTCAGTTTTTTGTTTTTCTTCGTCTAACAGTCTCGTTCGTTCAGTCACTAATTCTTCCAAATTGTTTGCATATTTCACCATCATGTCCATCATTTGATCCATAATATTTTTATTCCTAAAAATATGGAAACGTAAAGCAATGAATACATGAAATATGAAGATATGAGATATGAATATCAGAAGTTATATTGTAACTACCAAATCAACAAACCGTTTTACATGGTTCCTTTACCGGTTTTTATTAATCTTAAATTTCTTTGGTGCGATTGCGAGCAAAATAACTCTCGCTTTCGCAATTTTAATAGAAGATCTATAGCTTCGTTCGCGATAAGAATCCTGAACTGATTCAGAACTACTAATTCATACTTTGAGCGCATGCCTGATTCTTTATCAATTCTGAATAATTTTTACCGCGCGCACAACCCCTATTATATCGCTGTATTTCAGACGTATACAACAAGCGGTTCAGAACTAATAATAATTTTATCGCGAACACAGGATAGGACCAATAATTCAGTTCTTTTTGTTCTACGAACGCTTTTTAAATACTGCGCATACGAAATCGTCACTGTTAGTTATAATTCGGTTCAGGATTCTTACCGCGAACGAAATTATGACATTAAGCCAAAAATTTCGTTACAACATATGCTCTGAAACCAACCATGGCAGCAGCGAGATAAATGTGTATTAACAAAGACAAGCCATTGAGACGTGTAAGTCAATGTATTTTTTTGTTCGGCAAAAGTTGTTTGGGCGATTGTAATGGCATCCAGTATATGAACTATTGTTTTACTATAGGGGCGTTTGATTTGAAACTCGATCGAGCGAGCGTCGAGGAGACCGAGAAGTGATGACGTCACAATAGACCATTGAATCAAATAAAATGGAGTAAAAAACATAACCTCGCTTTTTTGTGATTCTTGTTTCTAGTTTGTGTGTCAAAATAGTGAGTAAAAAGTAAAGAAAATGGAAAAATTTTTAATAATAAGGGGTAATAGCCCTGAAATACAGCATATTCATACTCCAAGACTGTGATTACTTGAGATTAGATCTGGACAGAGAAAATGTATTTTTCAAATACATTTTGTGTTTTTTATAATGAATAATTTTAGCTATAAGACAAAAGCGGCTAAGTTATTTGTTGACTTCTTGTCTGGTCTTTAATTTTGAGATTCAAATTTGTTTGTAAGTTAATTAAAAAGAGATATCTAGATCCTTCTGCTCTGAGAATATCGAGCTCGCTCTATGTTCTCGCACTTTAGGGATCTCTCGGATTGTCAATTCAAACACGTTTGCAGCGCTCGAAGATCTCCGATGATCAAATCAAATGCACCTCTTATATTAAAAAATGTAAAAGCTTCCAATAACATCAAATTTTTTATCATACAAATAATGAATTTCAATGAAGGAAGTTTTACATAGTTTTTATTATTCTTGTAAATTTCGCTAAAAAAAAAAACTTTAAAATTAAAGTGAATATTAATATTTAAACTTGGAAAAATAATACAACAAACTCTTTTTCTATAAATGGTATTTTTCTAAGGCACAGAAAAACAAACTACAAGTGCTACGTTGAGAAAGTACTTCGTCTTGCTCTTTTTACTCGATGCCGTTCTTTTAGTACATCTACTTCCTCTCTATCGGATCTGTCTGTGGTCTTTTTACGCAGTACAATAAAGTCTGTTTACTCCATATTAAATTTCGGAGCTTTAGGAGTAAATAATCAATTTGTGACAAATTACAAAGAATAAATGATGTTACAGTTGTTATTTAATTGAAAAGTATTACAAAGCCAAGAAAAATAGAAAAAAGATGTTATATATTTAAAAAAAAAACGTAACAAATATTTTATAAAGTATAGAGTATAGGTTATGATACACACCACACACACCCCACACACCGCACACACCCCACACACTGCACACACCGCAGTGATTCAATTTTTTTTCTTTGTTTAATTGACTCTACAATATATGTAGGTATATGTAAGAACTTGCCAATCTCTATTTCAAAAGTCCTTTGCCAATATTACATGTGCAGAGATTTTTTACACAGCATACATTTAACTTTTTTTCTAGTAGGTGGGAACTTTGTGCTGCCATTACAGCTGTCGAGACATTCATCTACCTACTTGATGAACAAAATTAGCTGTAACAATGGATCTCTGTTCCAATTCACTAAAATAATTATAGCCATTTTGTAATATAATATTAAACACACACATTATAAAGTAGTTGTTGATTTTCTTAATAAATTGGTAATTACCTCTAGAAAGTAATGTGTACAAAAACGATGACACACTTATACTTAAAATCTGAGCAGCTAGGTTGACCTCCATGGCATATTTCATTTTTAGGTCCATATGATGTTCGTTTATTTTATGCATGCTCTTAAAATTAATGGACACTTAGATTCTATGTCATAGTTCTTTCTGATATCACTAAATTTTGCTTGCAACACAGCATATTGGTGAGTAGAAACTTTAATTTCAATATTATGTTTTCTAAACAGAGATGCTGTAGATTTAAGTAAATGGGGTGGGTAATATGTTGAAAATATTCTTTCCTAGAATCATTATGTAAGAATCAACTACTGACGATCCCAGATGCTTCATTGCTCACATATTGGTATCACAATCATTATTTAAACTTTAAACAAAGAATAGTAAGTTTTGCTATGGTCCGACTTCAAAAATATTGTTTGCGGGTTTGGTTCCAGAAATTGCTTCTTGCGAAAATAAACACTACTCCCCCCCCCCAACTAATTAAATAACAAAATCAGACTCAAAGAAATAAACGGGGGTACACATTTAAAATGCACACGTCCATAACCACACTCTTAACATTGTCAGTTGTCAGTTCTAATCTATACGTCACACGTCGAAAACGTCAAAAAAAACCAGCAACATCAGCGACCTCTTGCACTGGTAGTAGTTTTATTGAAGAAAGATAAATATACGGACATATCAATGTAAAAGAGAAAGAAAGACATATATGTAATTCAAATGGACTACCGAACAAATTTTCCTATTAAGTTACACGTCTCTGTTGTCCTTGGTAATAATGAGTTTAATTAATGAAAACTGAATTGCATTAATCATGTTATTATCTTTGTTCTTTCTTACTTGGTAAGTAATAGATAAAATACATCATTAATTTCGACATATATTTTAATTTTTTGGTTTTTTAATATACTGTTTGCACATAGTATGGAGTTTAGAGGAAAGGAGGACAATCTCACATGGTTGTTTCTCTTAAAAAGTGTCCGCCCAAAAGCAGTAAATAAGGTTTCAGAAAGTGACCAGAATGGCGCTCGTGTACATTGCCCTGCTAATACAAAAGGTCATATCTACAAAAATTTCGATTTCGTAATTTTTACACATTTGGTAAGCTTACAATTTATTTTATTATAATACAACGTTAGAAAGACCTATGTGCATTAGAAAATATTTAAAGATTAGCTGTTGCCCGCGGCTTTGCACACGTGGAGTCATGTTTTTAATATAAAAAATGCACGAATTCCCAAAAAAGGAGCGATATCTTTTTAGGGTTCATGGTATGTTTTAGTATTATAGATTTACCACCTTGTCCGATTTCTATAATTTTTTTTTTGTTAGTAAGGAGGCACTTCAGAGGTGGTCCCATATAAATTTGGTCAAGATGTAGTGATGAAATCTGCACGATTTTGAAGTCGTTTTTTTAAAATTACTTTTAATACTTGAATAAATATTATGAGTACGAAAAAGTGCTTTATTCCAAGATGTGATGATTCACATTCTTCTTCTTCCTTTTTTTTGGGCTATATCCTACAGGGCAATTTACCCAGCTATCAAAACGGGAGAGTATCGTTGTCTTGCTCTTGGCAATCGGATACCCTCAAGTAATATAATTAAAATATGTATTTGAAACTTCTTAACAGGATGCATAATCCCACTAAGGCTAGATTCACTAATCGAAGGCCATTCTAATTTAAGATTTCTACAGAAACACATACACACATGACTCCCGATTCTGAGACCGCCATTTCAATTTTGACACCACCGTGTCAGAATTGGAAGTGATGATTCACATTCATTATTAAAAATATTTATTAGTGTTCCTAGAAATTTGAAAAGTCACAGTAGGACACACGGAAACGCTTCAAGCAACATCTAAATTATTTTAAGGTTTGTTTCTATACTCTTTATTAAAATAAAAATGTTTTATTGTAATTTATTACAGTTCAATTATCTACCATTGTAGTAACGAGTTTTTTTTTTTTTTAGATGCCAGATGAGTTTGAAAACTGTTCATTTTTTAAATGATAGAAAAACCTTTACATATTAAGAAGTGGAAAGTACCACACAAATGTCTCACAGCTGAGGTCTCAAAAAAAAAATAAAGTGCGATGTTTGACTTTCATAGCCAACCCCGATATAAAAATAAATTATTTTTATATTGGTTTTTGCCTCAAATATCCTGAATCATCTACAAATATATAGCTGGAATGCTCTTGCTATTCGTAGCCCACCCTACAGCCTTTTTTGCAACTCTCTGTCCTATACTAAAAAGTTAGTTAATACTTACTTTCCATCTTTCATTCGTTTCAACCTTGTCCTTACAGTAACAAAGTCTGGTCGGTCATCTGGATTCTCCGACCAGCAGTCTTTCATACATTGTAAAACATATTCATCACAGCCTAATTCGGAATCATATAAAGCATCTATATCGGGTCGGAACGGATCGTATTGGGCCTCTTTTTTTACATTTTCAATTATATCTAAAATAAAATATGTATATCAACCAAAAAACTCAACTAACGGGAATCATTTTTGGAATAAGTAAAACTGTGAAGGTAAAGGAGAATTATTTCGAAAGAAAAGGATATTTCTAAAACTATTCGTCTTATCGACTATTTGGATAACCAACAGTTTGAGTCTTGACCCGTATAATCAATTTTATCAATTAAATTTTAGTTGAGCATTAGAATCAATTTTATCAATTAAATTTGACTTGGGCATATGTTTTCATATAAAAAAAAGAGTGTCTCAAGTCATGCTCATGTTTAACACCAAGAAGGACTTAAAAGGATCTTTTAAAAAGTATTGTGAATTTTGTATACTATAAATGTTCACAAACTAAATAAAAATATTATTTTCAAATGTGGATTATTTGTCTAAAAACATTTGTAATAAGTGCTGAAAAAATGACCGGTCATTTATAAATCGCAACGTAACCATACAAAATGACTCATCTCCCATCACCGGTCACTTATGTGGTTATTTTCATCCATAGACAAAAATTGTATTTTCTTTATGAGCTCTTCAACGATACCATTGCATTATATTTATGTACGACGCATCAGACTTGTGGAAACACAAAAATGTTTTTCCACTTCGCAATATTTTTTTTTTCTATTAACAAAGGGATAAAATTAGTACATATGCCACATTTTCTTTAATTATTTTTCCTCATGTTAAAATAAAAAAATAAATAATAGCCACATAACCTTAGAAATAACGTCGGCATCTCAAGACTCCCAAGCTAGGGGCTATTTTGCATTTTTAAATAAAAACAGTGAAAATATTCTATGCGGCAATTGATACACAATAAAGGATAGTAAAAAAATTTCAATGATCGACAATAGTTAGGATAAGAGTTGTAAACAAAGTTCTTCGAATGTTTTCTATTTTAGAAGAGGTTGAGTGGTGTGTACACACTGGGTAATAAGAAATGAATCGAAAGTATTTAAAGTGTGTAGGTAGAGTATACACTTTAAATACTTTCGATTCATTTATTTTTTCTATTTTAGTTCAAACGTTTCCTGAAACTTGAAACTTGAAAAAGTTCCGAGATGTCCTGAAAATGATTTCGATGAGTGGAGTCGTTTGAAATGCAACGTTGCCGGATGTATTTAGAGAAATTTCGCAAGTTTTGTCTAAAGTAGCATGTAATGCCGGTATATAAATAATGAAAAATAAATAAAATATATGATAAACGATACATTCTAGCAAATTTGTATCTCTTAAAAATAATATCTTGATAGTTAAAATTGAGAAAGAGCCAGGGATTTAAACTTTAACATGTTTTGTAGCTACTTTGATATTAGTCAGAAATCAGCACCCCGAAATTCGATCATGTACTGTGCACTCGAAGATATACTTTTTAAAAAATATGTACTGTGTTGGGAATGAGTTTACGGATGCAAATCCGGAGGGCTCCATTAAATTAGCAATTGCAAAAACGAATAAAAAAATATTTTTCGATTATTTTGATTTATCGTAAAAAAACAATTTTTTGTGTTTAACTCGCGATTGTGACGCCGTTATTCAATATTTTTTCAAAATTTTTGCAACACTAGAAAGCTGAATTATTCTAGATTTCAACGCAATGTGGAAAAAAAATATTGTACATATACAGAATTTATCAGATTATTTAAAAGGAGTCGCGGCATCAAAACTGAGGTGAACATTTCAGCATCGAGCAAGTTTGTCAACGATTGAAGATAGATATATGATTAATCGACGAAAAATGTGCTAAAATGAATGGAAAAGTTTTTGGTGAAAACAAAAATTCTCTATTGGTAATGGTTTTTGGGAAACAAATTTTTTTGTGAAACGTTTATGCGCGCCGGCCGCTACCTTTTTCCGTCGCGCGACGTTCGTCGACGGTCATTGTGTGTAGTGGAGTGGTAGTGTTATCGGGACTGTGGGTGTGAATAGATGTATCTCCACGGAATAGAGTAATGCAAAACAAATCGGTTTAAACGTCCTAAATAAGGCAGAAAAAGGTAACTGTCATAAAATACCGCCAGTCAAAATAAAGTTATTTTCTGAAAAACTAAAAGCGCTACTCCTGTTCAAATTAAGTCGCAATTGTTTGTAGATGAAGCAATGGTTTTCCGCAGCTTATATTTTGCTAGGGACTTGGACGAAAATAAAAAAATGGAAGTGTTCAGCCACGAATGGTTAAGCTACCCTCCATCTCTAAGTGAACCTAGTTGTTTTGGTCACTCCTTGCGAAAAGGAAACAAAGCCCATTTTTTTTGAATTGTATGAAATCGCAACTGGGTCTAGTCAAAGACATTAACATTCAATGATGACAGAAAAACTGCGTATGTTATTGATATGATGGCATTTATACAACGCCATCAATATAAAAATTGTAAGACCTTTTGTGAACTTTATGAAAATTACATTGACATTATTGTTGCCAATAAACCAAAAACGTGCGATATGATTGCTCTCGTCGGAGATCGATATGACGACAACATCAATTCTGTGAAAGATATGGAAATAATGAAAAGGAACAAATTTGTTTTAAACAGCCAAGTATTTGAAGTTCAAGATAATATTGAAGTTCCTAATTGGCAGCAGTTTTTTAGTAATAATAAGAATAAATCACGGCTACTAAAATATATTTCCAACAAACTATTTACAGCATATAACCGCCTTCCCAAGAATATTTCCATAATTACCGCTGGAATGGCAGAAAATAACAGCATTACTACTCTATCTTCTTCTGAAACTACTAAAATACTACCAGAACTACACTTTTCTCACCACAATGAGGCCGACACTAGAATATTTGCCATAATCCAATACTTGTCAAATCTACAGTACCGTCAAATAATAATAGAGGCCACTGATACCGACATATTTGTTTTGTCTCTCTACTTTATTACTAGGTTATCTATCCAGGAAATATGGTTTCATAAACTTGATATGGCTTATGGAAGGTATATCTCAGTGAGATAAAGTCCATGTTCTATTGAAGCAGAGGAAGCGTATCGAGCGCCTCCTGCTAAAAGCGACATCTTGCCTCACCAGATCAAGGGCGACTCCAGGGGGAGAGGGACATTCCTGTTTGCAGGCGGCTGATGAGGGTGTCGAGGAGCATGTTCGACAGTAGAGGTGATAGTACCCCTACCTGTAGACATCCCTTCGCAACCGAGCCTCTTATATTCACATCTTCTACACTTATGTTTACTGCTCGATTTCAGAGTATGTTGTGTATCCATCCACTAACCATCTGTTATTGTAATGATATTCGCATTTGTCTTGGAAAATCTTTCAAATAACAGTAAGTAAACTATAACGCTTTATTTACAGTAGAAAAATAGACGAACACATGCGCTTTGGAAAAGAGGTATTTATTATGTTTCTTAGTGCCTAATAACACGTAACACGTAACATGTATTTTAGTAGTTTGGTTTCACCCTTTATATTTATTATTTCATGTCATGTCACTATGACAGACTGGGGTTTTTTGTCAACGTTTGTTATATATTTTTTAGAGTTCGAAATAAAGAATTATAAAGTACAGAGATATTTTTTAGTGGCGACGAAGGGAAAGTAACCTACAATGGACGAAACTCAGTTTAACGCTTTTATTAAAGTTTTAACAGAAAACTTAACTTTGTCTAACTTTCAAAACAAAGCAGCTGAAGCTATATCGCTAGAACCTTTTTGCGAAGAAAATGAAACATGGGAGATATTTATCAAGCGACTAGAAAAATTTTTTAATATGAAAAATCTATTGGGAGATTCATCAGAAGTGAGAATAAGAAGAAAGAATGGTTGATACATTGTATGGGCGCAAAGACATTACAGCTTCTATATAAGTTAACAAGCCCACATGAACCTATATCGAAATCATATAAAGAATTAATTAAACTAATCAAAGAACATTTACATCCTACGCCGAGTGTTATTGCTGAACAAAATCGTTTTTCAAAGCGTATACAAAGAGAGGGCGAAAGTATCGCTGACTATGTAGCAGATTTAAAAGATCTTAGCAAAAATTGTGAATTTGAATGTTTTTCTTGTCATGCTTCAACAGTGGATGCTCACTTAAGACAACAGTTTATTAGTGGTCTGCGAAATCCGGTTTGGTTAGAAAAATTAATTCAGCTAAGAAAACCACACAATACCTTTGATGACTGCGTAAATATGATTCTAGCTAGTGAATCGGCGCAACGTGATTCCAAAGAAATTCTAAAGTCGCAAACATCAGATTTTCTGACACAACAAAATCAAATTACACTCCCACAACCTACAAAAAGTAAACTGCAAAATACCAACAAAGTTCTTAGTAAATTCAGAGGTCGTATGTGTTATAGATGTGGAGACGAATCACATTTGGCCATGCATTGCAAACATATTCAGACTAGATGCAATTCATGTTCTAAAATTGGACATCTTGCTAAAATTTGCATGTCCAATCCATCAAACCAGTTCCTAAGGAATATTCCAACTACCCCAAAAGGAAGAAATTTTAAATATCAGAATCAACTAAAAATGAATGCGGTGATTGAAGAAGCTAGTACCAGTAATTCACAATCGACATCTACGATGCAAGATGAAGTTTCTGAAAAGGAATTTTATTTTATCAACAATATGACAGACTGTCCTTTACCAGAGTCTTTAAATAAACCTGCCAAAATTATGTTAGACCTTAAAATCAACGAACAACCAATTTTATTTGAATATGATACAGGAGCTGCGGTATCATCAATTTCATATAATCAATTTATATCACTATGTCCAGAAGCAAGAATTTTTCCATCATCTTTACCACTTCGTACGTATACTGGGGAAGTGATTCACCCTATAGGATATTCTACAGTTGAAGTTACCTTTAATACACAAAAAGCTGTGGCAAATTTGTATATACTACCGGGCAAGGTAGAACCAGTTTTTGGAAGGGAATGGCTTCAGATTTTTCAAGTCTTACAAACTCAGATCCATCAAATACAAGGAAATTTAAATATTACTATTTCAGATGATCTTGTACAAAATACAATAAGGCAACTAAAAGAGAAATATTCCGAAGTTTTTAAAGAAGGAATAGGGAAAATTAAAAATTATGAAGCAAAACTTTACTTAAAAGATAATACTAAACCTATTTACTATAGTGCTAGAAAAGTCCCATATGCCTTGCAGGAGAAAGTGGAACAGGAAATTGATCGTTTGGAAAAATTAGGTATCATTTCAAGAATGGAATATAGTGAATGGGGAACACCGGTAGTACCTATAATAAAAAAGGATGGTACTATTCGGCTATGTGCTGATTATAAGGTTAGTCTAAATCGAGTTTTGAAAGATGACAAGTATCCAATACCAAATCTAGAAGACATTTTTGCAAGAACGATGTTGGGTGGAAAAATATTCACTACATTGGATATTCGGGAAGCGTACCTAAATATGCCTATGGAAATCAAAAGTGCGGAAATTCAGGCAATCACTACTACTAAAGGAGATTATAGGGTAAATCGATTGATGTTTGGAACGAAGGTAGCCCCGGCCATTTGGCAACGATATATTTCGAAAACTTTATCAAATATTCCAGGTGTTTGTGTATTTTTAGATGATATCAAAATTCAGGGGGTTAATTGGGAGGAACATTTAGATAGATTAGAAAAAGTTCTTAAAAAATTAGAAGAAGTCGGATTACATATTAAAGAAGAAAAATGTAAGTTTTTCAAATCTTCTATTGTTTATCTAGGATATAAAATAACCTCTCAGGGATTAGAAAAAACCCCAGTCTGTCATAGTGACATGACATGAAATAATAAATATAAAGGGTGAAACCAAACTACTAAAATACATAACATACCGTGTTATTAGGCACTAAGAAACATAACAATTCTCCCCCCCTTAATTATAACTAAATCGACTAACTGATTTTCTAATTCGTGTACTTCTTCTTGGTCCTGGTTCCCTATCGTTATCACTGCTTCGTACATATTCGTCTGTTCTGCTTTCAGTATCAGGATTGGATGAACACTCGTCTCTTTCAGGATAGTATTGTACTTCTACGCAATGTTTAAAGTGTAATTATCTTTGTAAGCATTATGCCATTAAAATTTGGGACGTAAACATACATAAACAACAGATTATAAAGCCTTATTTTAATTTTCTAGAAACAATTCATGTATATCTCGGTTAGTTCGCGTTGGAATCAATATCAACTTTAAATATTGTTTATCAAAATTTATTTTTTTTATTATTTTTGAGCATTGAGAAACTTGCAACGGATTAAAGGCGCGCGTGTTTTTGGGCATAAAGCAATAGTATATTTGACAGTAAAATATGAAATTCGTTGCTAATTTCTATTTTCGAAATCGTTATTGTAGGGCAATATAAATATGGTATCTTGAGCAAAAGAATAAAACATTTTGTAGTAGTAGCTGTCAGAAAGTTTTCTATATAATTATAACCATTTTGGCCATAAGTAATTAACTGGTTAAAAAATGTATTATTTTCTAAACACCATGGAATGTAAACTGTCTACGTTGCCCGAGAGGGCGCACCTGTGTAGTTATTTTTAGGTAAATTAAGCAACGTTTAGGAAACGATCAACTGCTACCTATAGTTAAAACTGCAACGTTTTAAGAACCCAAAAATGATTGATCGAATTGGTGCAAAACAGGGTTGTGACAACGTTGTGTTAAGAACGGCCACACAACTTATGTTTAGTTGCGCAACTATATTAAACACGTCGCCGCAACGTTAAATTGTTACTTGGGCCAATAAACCAGATGGTCTTCGGGCTTTCACCGGGAAAGACAGTTAATTTAAACATATGTTTTTTAATGGGTGAATTTGGGTCATTTTGATAGAAAATATAAAAATCAATATTTTAGAGATACACAGGGACGTATTCAGTTGGGTTAATTATGCAAACAAATCTACGCAAACCTGGATGGTGAAATTTAATAGTTAGCTATGCAACTGGTGAATTGACACTATTCGTTAGCTCAAGGGTGGCACCCATAGTAGCCACACATTCCACTCTTTGAACCATAAAATATATGTGAACATCAACACAGTAAGTTAACCAACTGGAGAATTGGTGCTGTTCGTTAACTCTATAAGTACTCATCGAAATAAATACCCAAGAAAATACGATCCTGTTTATATCTAGGATAGAATCAATCTAAATAAAATATATCTTGATAGCAAATGAACGTGGCCCGCGTTTGAACGGGACTCAAGTGAAATCTCGGTAAAAGGTACCTATTGTAATATACTTTGCAAATTATTACGTTACATTTTAAAGTATGAAAAATAAATTTAATGCTGTTAATTTTTTGTTAATATTAAGACTTAAAAAGAAAAAACTTTTAAATTTCCATATATGATTGTATAAGTTGAAACACGTTAAAAAACTAGTGAATAAAATAATTTAATTGTTTTTATACCTTTTGGTTCGTATTTGGTGACGCCAAACGGTCCTCTTCGTCCAAGAATTTCGTACAAAATAATAGCAAAACTGTAGACGTCTGCTTTTTGGGTTCCTTGTCTGTGTGCACAAGGATTTCTCAGAATTTCTGGAGCTTTCCACAACAAACCTAAGAAAAATATGTTTGAATTAAAATTATTACTTTTACTATTTGGGATTACTAGAAACAAAATATAACTTTATTTTTTTTTGTTTAACTAAAATAAAGTTAGTAGATTCACATTGAAATATACTGAAATATTCAACATTTTCTAGGATCATGATTAGGTTTCATTTTGTTTGAGCTTAGAGTATGTATATACCGGGCTTCTCTAGATAATATTTTTAATGCCCAAATTCAATATTTTAAGAAACACAAATATAAAGTATTATATCGGAATTCTTTATCTCGAGTGTGGTTGTTCTTTTTGGTCTCGAGTGAGCCGTTTTGGAATAAAAGATAAAGAATCCTGATATGTTTTTCAATTTAGAACTATTTGAATTTTCAGTTGTTTTTAAATGTAAATAAATAACAGAAATATCTAAAAAAATGTGATCCAGTTTATATCGCCAGGATTTCACATAGTTTATCGAAAAATAAATTATAAACCAATTTTGCCTTCTTTTCCTTGTACAGGCTTCAGGAATTCAGAAACATGCAAAATTGTAAGTTTTAATTTTTTCCTCAAAAACAAAGTAGGTTTCAAAAAAATTTAAGAGACAAAAAGTTGTATTTTTAGTTAGTTCATTTAAAAAAAAAAATATGAAAAATTTAAAAAATCTACTAGATGATATTTTTTGTGCTGAAAACTAATCGAAGCGCCCTGTGAGCACGCCTCTAGAATTACTGGATCAACTGTAGCATGTCCTAAAAACACCACATAATAAACTGTAAAACTTTCGTTGATACTATTTAAAAAAAAATAACATCACACAGGAAAATTGGACCATGTTTTATCAGACAAACTACCTTTATTTTAAAAAACATATCGGCTGGTAAAATCCTGATATAAGCTGGACCCTGTATTATTTAATTTATGTATTTACTTGTATAATACTGATATTCCCCTATACTATCATTTTCAGCACAGTGCCTCATTTCAGCTAGACCGAAGTCCGTCACCTGCAGCACCCATCTGCTAGTCACCACACAATTTGAAGATTTTAAATTTCCGTGGCACATTAGCATGGAATTGTGTATATACAACATGCCCTAAAAGTTTGATTTCATTTAAAAAACAACAGAAACAAAATTTCAGGTTAAGAAAGTCAAGAAAAATAGAATATAAATCATTAAAAATAACGTTTTTATATTTCGAATTTTTTACTATTATTTCTACCCCATTCGAGAATTTGAACAAAAACACTCATCAAAGAGGTGAGTAAAAGTATTTGAATTAATCAGTTCAAGGATATCTAAACAGTACATAAATATTTTAACCTCTGTCCAGGTAAGAGATAATTCCTTTGACAATACTCTTTGTAAATGGTTCTGCTCCTTTGCAGTGTCAGCTTTTTTCTCTCTGTCTCCATATCAAAGTAATTTTGTTCCAAATACAGAGTCACTCAGCTTCGAAACTACTTGTTTGAAGCTCAGGGCTTGAAGGGCAGACCAGCCAGCGGTTACAATGTTAATAGATTTGCTGGCAGGATTTTTTATTAGCTCCATTGTGCCGAATTATATTACAAACATCTGTTCTTGAAAAATCTCTGTAAAATTTCCTAGGTTTATTCAAATTTCAACTGGCATTTTGATGAATGCTTAAGTTTCTACTTCCTAGTCCTTTAACAGTTTTGAAACCATGTTGTAGGGGATTCAAAATAACAGATCTGAGATCATTCCGAAAATGTGTTTTTTTATTTTACCCCAATTTTAGTTACTACCCAATGACAGTGGAAGAAAACTAATCTGCTTCTTGTAAAGACGAGTTAAATTCAAAATAATTTACATAGTCGCCGTCACCAAAGTAGTGGAAATTGTTTCTGTTAAGTCCAGACAAATTTAAATTGTAAGTAGATAAACGGTTTATTTTTTAATTCAATACATTTAGTAGTATTTCTTCATTTAAAACTAATCAATTATAAATCTTGTCTTTCCGGATTTGATGGAAAGCTTGATGTACGCTAACTTTTAACGCACAATTCGTGATTCATTGATATTCACTTCCTCTCTTCCTAAGAAAAGCGATATTTATGATTTTCTGATCAAATTATTATTTATTCTATTTTAAAATTAATATTAAACAATATTAAGAAATTATAGAAATCTTACCTTAATGAGATCATGAACTAATGAGGCTATGAACATTTTGTCCAATTTAATATCTTCATTTTCTACAATATCCTATAGAAGTAAAATCAAATAATTTTCTGGTTTACAAAAAAGAATCTTGGATAATATGAACTATTTTTGTTTACAGTAGTCCTGATAATTCGAGCTAACTAGGGCTAAGGTTACCTAGACCTGGATTACACGGAAATAAGAACAAAATAAAAACTAATGTACACAATATATACACTTTTATTAAAAAAAAAAAGGTGAGACAATGATACTTGGTCATAAATATTGGCTAATTTTAACAAGTAGCGAAAAAATGGTATATCAGTTACTAGGAATAGAAATATTTTATTGTTGAGCCTTAGAAACTTGTCACAGCAAATTGGGCAATTATACTCAGAGTCGCATTATACAACTTTTTTCTAGCGTTACAATTCAAAAATAAAACTAGACCATTATTGGATGAAAATGGCTACTTTAACTTAAAAAAATTAGAGCAGCGCTTGTCCAATCTAAGCAAAAAAAAATAAAACCTAATATTAACTATATAAATTATTAGAATTAACATTACTAAACTTATAATGCGCTAGAAACAAGAAAACTTTGTACATGACAACTATCAAATTTAGGTAACTGATAGTTTCTGATAAATAAATGTATATTACTAGTAACAAAATGCGGATAATATGTATTCATGAAAATGATATTGTTCTACAATATTATGATCAATAACATAAATATTTTGATATAATTAAAAAAAATGATCAATAGTATTTTGTTTTAAAAGAGGACTGCTTCGATATTATTCCAAATAATGCAATTCTGCATTTAAAATTAGCTCAAATTACCGGGACTTGCCTTGATCTAAAATTAATAACAATATAGACCGTCAGATAGTGTCCTATTTTCGCATACAAGCCTTGAAATGGATTGAAAAGTACATCGATTTTGAGTGGAATAAAAGGAAATTTACTAGTGGCTCCTGGAGATAACATATGGAAAATTCGATTTTCCTAACAAAAATTAAAGGTATTTATTGCCCATATTTTCACGCAACCCGTGTTTACTAAATGATTAACTAATAGAACTAGGCTTCGGAAAACCAAAGGCTTTAATGTTGCAAATAGCTAAAGGGTTGAAATAAGGGCGTAATCTTGTAAGGAAAAATCGAGATTTTAGCCGATTTTTCCACTCAAGCCATCGAATGTATGAAAACGTACATCGTCTCTAGTCTGAAAAACATATTGGCTTGAATGACCTGGAATCTATTTCTGTTAAGGAAAATCGAATTTTTTATGTGTTATCTCCAAGAGCTACTCGTAAATTTCCTTTCATTCTACTCAACATCGATGTACTCTCTTCAAGGCTTGTATACGAAAATTGGGCACCTAAATCGGTCACTAGCTGACGGTCTAATACTCTTAACTTACGATTGCTTCTTTATAAACAAATAATAGCTTAATTGGTTGGAAATAACAATTATAAAATTTATAAATAGTATATTGTACATAAAGTAACCTATTCCACAGTATATGTGAAACTTTTGCCCTAATCACACGAGTGTGGAATTTGTTTTTCGCACTATAGCACACGAATAACATATTTTTTTAAACCATATAAACATATTTTTTAAAATGCAATTTCCTACTTACTCATTACAAACATTAATATTAACGACATTACAATAATTATAGAAATATTAATTAATAATTAGCACAACCGCTAAAAAAGCGTCACAACTTAAAAATTACATTTTTGGGACAATTCAATAGATCGATCAGAAATTAAACACCCTACCTTCTAAAGAAGCGTTATGTTTTATTTTAACTTTGCCTGTTTAGATGTCGGAAGGGACGCTTTAACTTTCGACAGATTTGTCAATGCTGCGATCGATATTAGTGTTACTTTTTAGGTTGAAGCACTCGAATCTATGTGAATATTCTCCAAAAGTTCAAAAAACAGTCACATTTTGTGTCCATACAGTATGTTCTACGAACATTACTATAAACAAGAAGAATTTGCCCAAGTCGAGTTATTTAGGAGAAAAACTAAAATTCCGAATGGATTAAAACAGGCCTACAAAACCGCACCTAAAATCTTTTGAATCTGTTGGCGAATCATATTCCTCATTATTACCCATCGTTTTATAATGATTTGTAAGTGCAGTCAATACAAGTTTCTCTTTCCTATTTTTTGATTAATTTTTAATAAAGTGTATTTAATATTATTTCAAAAAAGATGTCGATATATACTAAAAAAGAGTCATGTCTCATCCAAATTTTAATTTTACAGTAAAATGTAAATATTAGTATTCTATGGGGTCTATTCTGTAACAATTCCTTTATATTTAACGGCCTTTAAAAATATTGGCGGCTTTTAAAAATATTGGCGGCCTTTAAAAATATGTTCGTATTCGTTAATTTACTTCTGTCATTATTTAAACAGATTTCTTTAAGATAGTCCTCTAATGTATTTTAAAGATCCGTTTAAATAATGACAGAAGTAAGGAAGAAAATATTTTTAAAGGCCGTTAAATATAAAGGAATTGTTACAGAATAGACCCCAATATAGACTAAATTTTCATAACAATGTTAAATTAAATATTTTAAGAACTAAATTAGATCAATACAAATCCAACCACGACACTAATCTTCAAAAACATCAGATGTAATGCCTTCCATTTCATTTAAACGGTTTTTTTCTCGAAACTATATTTTTTGAGTTGTGACGCTTTTTTAGCGGGTGTGCGATGTAGTAAACAATAGACTTTGATAGTTTTTCATTATGTTGTCCATTTTCTTACTAGTAACTTTAAATATTCTTAAAGGAATTAAATATCAAGATTTGAAAGCATGTAACTGGATTACTTACAGAAGTTATGATCATTAACCATACATATTTTTTGAAAATTATCTATTTTTTTTTTTTAATAATGGCACAATTTTATTTAAAGCTTATAATTAATAAAATATGTTCTTGAGATTGTTTCATTATCCATATAAAAGAGTATAGTTCACAAAATAGTCATGTGGAATAATAGGTTTTTTAGAATGTGTGATTTTATATAATAATCGTCGAAAAATAATTTATATTGGAGTAAGGTTATTCATGTCACACATGTGGTACGTCCGTTAAGGAAAGATTACCTTCTTTTCCTTAAACAGTTGGAAAGGTAATCCTTGTGACAAAAGTAAATAATTTGTATCATCATCATTGCCATACATAATCATCAATGGACGATACATCTCTCAACGTTTCAAAATCTATTAGGTTAACTTACTCTTTCTCATCGTTACTGGTTGACTTCGTTCTAACTGTCTGGATGCAGGCCCGACGAGAGAGGAGGGGGGGCCGGCAGCTGAGACTTTTTTTTAAGTTATTCACAAAAGGTAGGATCTGGTTTATGAAAAAAACGAGCTGAGGACCTTTTTTTTAGATTTCACCAAGAAAATATCAAATTTTGCTGATAAGGGGCCCTTGCCACAGTTTTTGCCCCTGTGCCCGCTATGGCTCTCGGCGGCCCTGGCTGGATGTAGACAGAAATTGTGAGACCAATTATCAATTACTTGGACGTATCTTGTAGTAACAGAACTTAGCTTCTACGAAAGCTAATATCTTAGAAGTACAAAGACCAGGTGTTTGCATCACCGGTGCAATGAGAACCTGTCCTACGGCCGAAATGGACATGATCTTAAACCCCATCCCTCTACATTTAATGATAGAGAACGTGGAAAAAAAAAGAACACGATATAGAATGATCAGGAACGGAGTAATCAGACAAAAGTCTATTAGCTTCAGGACCGAAGATACTTGGGATATTCCCCAGGACGGAATGAGTAAATAAGTTCCAAAACCACAGAAGAAACTGGAATAGGAGTGTATACGTGTAGAATCAGGCACTCTGAAGGTTTAGGTAGGTACCCAAGCATCTTATAGGCGGAAATTCACGCAATTGAGAAGTGTATCCAGTTCAATATCGAGAGAAACTATCACAGACAAGAGATTATCATGTCCGATAGCTAAGTAGCCATCAAAGCGCTGATCTCTTATGTAATCAGCTCAAAAATGGTCTAGAGATACCTAGAAAAATGAATAAGTTAGTCGACGAAAATACAGTTACTCTTACTTGGGTAACGAGATGGCAGATAGCCTCGTAAGGAAAGGGGCTCAAATATCTTTTTGTCGGACTGCAGTATCAGCAGTAAGACAATATTAGGAGAGATTAAAAAATAATTGGCAGTAGAGGAACCGATAATTGAAATAATCTCTTGGGACTTAGGACACTTCTGGGTAAATATAAGCACCCCCATTCACAATCTGACTGAATGTGTAGCACTCGAGAATTCAAGGGCACTAAACTTCGGAGTATATCAAATAGAAAATGGCGATCTACCCAAGTTGGAACCACTCCAAATCCTACACTTTCTTGAGAAGATAGGATTGGAAGGATCGTTATTATAGGCATAGAGACATTTCCTTGCTGCATTAACGATTGAATGGGACACAATAGATCTTTTAGGTTGCAGTGTATTAATACCCCATACCCAACATAACAACTGGTTAGCCTCCCAAACAGATTATTGAACCACTGAACTTGAAGCACTGTGATTTTTATGTCAATTTATACCAAATATCTATTTTGCCGTTTGTCACAAGGATGTCCTTTCCAACCTTTTAAGAATCTCATCCTATTAAGAATTTTGCCGTTTTTTAACTGTTTTGTTATAAGTACTCTACCTATCACTAACTTATCCTAGTTAAACTGTTCTTGTAATTTCCATGTGCTAGTTTTTACTTCTCAATTATTTAACTTCATTAGTTTCATTTCTTTTTTGCTTATCGTTAAGATTATTAATTTTGTTTGTAGACTAGTATACGACAAATATGCATGCGCATTTCGATTTTAAGTGTTCGTGGAGCCGAAAATCAGGGATTTTGATAAAATATCCCGCTCTTAACGTTAGTACACTACAAGCAATCGATAAGTCAAAACGATCAGCAAACAACGTAAACAACTTGTCAAGACATGCATAGTAAGTGCATGCAGAGAAAAAAGAACAGAACAAAGACGTTAATTGCCTAGATTTTACTTATACTGAGTATTCCGATAAATTATAAAATGACCAAACTAATAAAAAATTAAATAATATTTAATGACTGTACAATTTTTACAATGTAATGTTTCTGTTATTTATTCTGAAAACTATCTTCTATAGGAAAATCAATAATGCAAATGGGATTATAAATGATGTTGTTTAAAAACATCTGTGTAATTGAAATTCTTTTGTTATTTAACAAAAATAAAAACTGGATAATTAAGGATGACAATTTACACTTTTATGTTTTGTTTCATTTGCAGTTAACTTTACGATAGTCATTTTTGTACACAAGTCGTTCGTAGTGATCTCTTATTTGTTACAAATCGCAGTTGTCCACAAAGCTATTATTAGCAATTTGTTTTAGAGAGTTTAAAATGAACTATAAGCCTGTCTTAAAACATGATTTTTTAAAATTTTCTATTTATTACTTAGTATACATATTTTGTCATTACAATAACATTATTTTTATTATTAATATTAATTATTATGAAACTTTTGCCATTCTGTACTTTGATTTCACTTAAATGTTTCAGCATTTGCCTATAATATTCAAATTCTTTTTTAATTGTCAAACTTACTTTTACATCATAATTGTAAATTTTACTTTTCTTCTAGGTCTGATCAATCTGACTGAAAGTAATTGCTACTGAAAATAATAGTACCAAGTCAGCAAAATGATTCGTTATCGAATTAGTCCGAGATTATTAGCCGAGCGAGAGAAGTGAGCGAGGCGAGTAGCAGGCAAGTTCGATAAAGACACTTTGCTGACGTGGTCCATACAAACTTTTATCGCCAACCGTAAACAGTTATTAATAAAAAAGGAGATATTATAATATCACATTTTACCATTTTAGTAGGACATAGTAAACAAACAGAAAATTAACAGCGAATACAAAACAAATCAGTTAAAGACTATTTCTGTCAGACGGACATGGCTATGTTGATAAAAAATATTAGCGGCACATAAAATATTTGATTTTTACGGAGAGATAAAGTGTTTGTTTACTTCCGCAAATCGCTATGGTAATTTGTGGCTTTATTAACGGTTGGCAATAAAATATATATTTGTGGTTAAGACCGAGTTTTCTTTCCTTAATTTTTATATTAGTTATTTCATAGATTTCTTGATTTATAAAAGAAAAATGTATAATAAATTGTTATTAATTGTTATTAATCACAACAGCCGACATCACTGATAGTCTAAGACACAAAGTAAGGTCGATATCGTCTATCGGCTTACCGGAAGAAAGTTATTTTTTAACAGATAAAATATGTTTATAAATATATCTCAAATGGGTTGCTTAAGAAAATACTGTCAAGACTATTTATTTTCTTAAAGTAAAAAAAAAACACTATAAAGTATCCCCCAGATGCTTCTATTGTGCTCAAAATTTAATCAGCTCACCCCAGGATGGATTAAAGCTTGAGTTTAAAATTTGTTATCTTAAAAATTCGAAATTTGCACTTTCCCTCAAATATCTGGAATACGGTTCATTTTAGGGAAATCATGTATATGAGAAAAATTATAGAGAATGACACCACAAACAACTTTTATCACGATTCCTATACTTTCCTTATCTGTATACAGAAAGGAAAGTAAAAATAGCCTTGACAGTATTTTTTTAGGCAATCCATTTTCGGTATATTTATTAACATATTATTTAATAAAAAATACCTTTTATCCGGTTAAGTAGATGAGCGAAGGTCGACCTTACTTCATATCCTGTACTATGACAAAAATTAAATAATTGAAATAGAAGAATCATTTGTTGTATTACATCTGCAGGTACTTACGTATAAGCTTCCTTTGGCACAATAATCAGTGACTAGTAATATTGAGGTTGGTTGCACGCATGCTCCAATGAACGAATTTACATTATCGTGTCTGAGTTCTCGCAACAACCGCATTTCTTTCATAATATCGCGAGAAATGTCTTTTTTGCGCGAAAAGTTCAATTCTTTTATTCTAACTACGACGCCTCTATACTGAGCCGTTGTGGCGAATACTTGGAGACCACCCCTAGACTCATATGAAGTTACACTCGCACTAGCCAGGCTAAGCTGAAAAAAAAATCAACTTAAATTATATTTATATGTGCAATTTAAAGAAATTAATTAAGTAAAAACAGATTGTTATTAAAATAGCACAATATGACAGTTTATTTTGATTTTGTTATGTATGTATTAAATTATATTTCACAATCTCTTTATTAATCTTACATAATTAACGGCGTCCATATTGAGTTTTGTCAGAGTCACAAGCTTAAATAATTTTATTGGTGTAAATGGAGAAGGAGAGAGACATTATAGCATCAGTGATGATAAAGTGCAATGGAAGTCAGGCAGAAAACCTAACTACCTAACATTTGCGATTGAAGAAAATAATTAAAAAGGTCGTGCATAAAATTTTGTATGTATCAAGGGCGTAAAACAGGCGTTTACGGATCGCAACGTATAAGTTAACACAAATTTTATGTACGACCGTTTTAATGATCGTTTATTAATAAATAGCTATTGTTTTACTAACTAGATGTGAATTTTTAAAAGAAATAAAAAATAATTTTTTCTATGACTATTTAACAATATAAGTATTATACATCCAGTTTCTATTGATTAATGTAAGTGGTTACTCATACAGTAAGTTTTTTTTTTTTTTATTACTTAATTATTTCTTTCATTACTTAATTATTTTCAACCATTACTTGATTTTTCAACAAAATTTGACAACAATTACAACTTACACGGAAAACCAGTTGACTAGTAAAAATATAACTACTACTGTTGATTTGGATTCAAAAGCAGTTAATTTTCAAAACTATTCCAATTTCACAAATAATTTTGGAACAAATTAATGAAATAAAATATTACATAACCTTTTTCTATTATTTAATTTAATAATCATAGAAAAAGTATAGTATTCTAGTCGCGGGTAATGGCTATTACTCAGTAATAGCCATCATTACCCGCTCGTTGAAAAAGCTAAAAATCTAATATTTTTCCCGTGTATAATACACTATTTTTTCTGTGACGGGAAAAACGTCGATTTAATATTGAAAAAAATATTCTAAAATATCTACCTTTACTTATGTGTGTAAATATCCGGGAAAAAGTACTTACTTTTTCCTGGGGAAACACTTTTCTCCCGGAAAACGGGGAAAAAAGTAATTTAATAAAAAGTGACAATTTGTTCCCTGTCAAGAGAGATAAAATGTCGAACTTCTTTCCCGTCACAGAAAAATATACTACTACTTTATCGCCCAGCGGGCGGTAAAGTAGTTCACGGGCGGTAAAGTAGTCCGCGGGCTATAAAGGGGCACTTATTTACGACCGCTTAACGAATTTATAATCTGGATTTATCGCCCGGTCGTGCATAAAAATATTTTATGTGTCCAACACATGACTTTTCCTGTATATTTATCAAATATATTGAGCCCATCTAATGAAAAAATGTTTAGAATATGAATTAAAGATGAAAATTTTCCAAACTTATTTTATTCGAAACATCTTTTCATTTCTTTATTAACACAAATACTGAAAAAAAAAAATTAATTTTGCACTTTTACTTAAATTTCTTCATTACGGCCCAATTTATAGAAATCATGTAAATGACAAAAATTATAGATAATGATTTCACAAACAACTCTTATTTAAAGAAATTTCATAAATAACGGAAATATACCTTAAAGTAGACAAACGATTTCTATGAAGTACCCCCAGATTCTCTATGCCCAAATCAGCTCACTGCAGGATAGATTAAAGCTTAAGTTTAAAATTTGTCGTTTTCCTCTTTATACATTTTTGAGTTATCTTGGATACATACACACAGACAGACATCCTGAAAATGGTCAAAACGGATTCAAGGAACTTTAAGATCCATCGAAAACTCGAGATAAAAAAAAATCATGATTTCTATACTGTCCTTACTAATTACAGGAAAGCAAAAATAAAAACAAATTGTGAAAATTATAGAGCCAATATGTTTACAGCCCCGGTATCATTTAAATTGTATACGGGAAGAATAAAAAGAAGATTAGAAAATAAATAGATAACATAATAGAACACGAGCAAGTAGTAGAAAAGACAAACAAAAACGACAAAATATTTTAAAATGTGAATTTTACAGCACCTCACCTTTCCCGTTATTCGATAATTTCGCAATAACTCATATGCGAAAAAAGCGTGAAGCTTTCGAACCTAGTAATTTTTCAAACAACTTATTTTTTATCTATATATTTGTAATGTTAGGTCTGATCCTGCCATTCACTTGGCAACCCTGTACGTTCTCATCGGTGGCAGGAACCGACCTTCGAAAGTCAGTCACTTTACGTCGAGTCAACGTGAATAAAGGTTATGTTACTTAGGCCAGTGTTTTGTCTTCCATTACCTAACATAACAATATTATTCTTGCCTTAGCACATCTTATTAGACCTGCCACTATCTCGGAACCCTAGAAAGACGGACATGGCCACCTATGCTCACCTTCTCCAAGAGACTCTGAGAGAGGTGAAGGCCGAAACATCAAACAATAACAATGCTTTGGAAAAGTACTCGAACACTATCCAAAGCACAATAAACAATGCCTATAAGAAATCCTGCTCCCTGAGGCTGGTCCAACACGATCAGAAATGGCTAGGAAATCTTTTAATAAGGCAATAATTACAAAACTCAAAGAAGACTGGGATACTTACAAATCTCACCTCAGAGAATACAAAAAAAATCGTTCGACAAAAACAGAGAAATGCATGGAGATCCATCCTACTGTGAACAAATCGAAGATTTTCTGTAAGCAGCGAGGCTTTAAAAGACTACCTCAAGAGATCCACACCGCAGTATTAGTGCGCTTATCAAAGAGGATGGCATGAAAACTGCAAACCTCGAAGATAGCATCAAACTTCTGGTGTCAACACAATTCCCTCACTCGGTTATCAAAGATGTGTCCGACTGGACAGAGGGAGAATACAACCCATCTCTCTACGATTGGCAAACTGCCAAACACATTTTAGACGATAAAAATGGATGGACAATATCTAGCTTCTCTCCATTTAAATCGCTGGGACCTGCTGGGACCCCATTTCAGCCCTACTTTAGTGGGGTCTGGAAGAACTCACACCGCACCTTGTAGGTATATTCAGATCCTCGTTGGCACTGAGGTATCTCCCAAAAATGCAGATAGGTAAAAGTAGTCTTTATACCCAAACCTGGAAGGATGGATTACACTGTCCCAAAAACATACCGACCAATTAGCCTGACATCGTTTTCCATGAAGACTGTGGAAAGGCTATGCGAAAGGTACATAAGGATGTGGTGATTACAACACTACTACACCCAAATCAACATGGATACACTCCAGGCAGATCTACCGATTCATCCCTTCACTTAGTTTGCTGGCCGGACTGAACAATATAGTGTAATCCATCCTTCCAGGTTTGGGTATAAAGACTACCTTGGGTGTTTTCATAGACAGAAGGTGCTTTTGATAAGACGACCTTTCTCAATATAATACACTCACTAAACAACAGGAATGTTCCACAGATGGTTAGTGGGTACACACAACATGCTCTCAAAGCGAGCAGTAAACATAAGTGTAGAAGATGTGAATATAAAAGGCTTGGTTGCGAGGGGATGTCCACAAGGAGGGGTGCTATCACCTCTCCTGTGGAACATGGTCCTCGATACCCTCATTGGCCGTCTCAATAATGGACAGTCATTACACAATAACGTATGCAGATGACCTGGTCATTCTGCAAACAGGGAATTTTGAGAACATACTCTGCGAAAGGATGCAAGTAGCTCTTAAAATTATAGAACAGTGGTGTCTATCAATCCCAAGAAGACAGAAATTGTCCTTTTCACAAATAAAAGGATGAAAATTTAATTAAAACCTCCAGAACTCCTAAACACGAAGCTAAACTTTGCAACAGAGGTGAAATACCTAGGTCTCACCTTTGACAGCAAGTTATCATGGAACTCACACTTAAAAACAAAGTCAAAAGAGCATACATTGCCTATCAACAATGCCACCGAACCATAGGGCGGACCTCAGGTTTCTCCCCCAGAGTCGTCGCAGGCACTTACACGCATCATAAGACCTATGATAACATACGGTGCAAATGTGTGGGTACTGAACTTGACAGCTATCCGCAAACTAGAACAAATTTAACATATCTCAACCTAACAGGAGCCATAAAAACCACACCAACCAGAGCTATGAAAACATTTATTCTTAATCTCACTCTCCTTGATATTTAAACCAAGGAAGTTGCTCTGATTACAATGACACGCCTCCGCACGGTTGGAATAGAACCTGATGGTAGGGCGAGATGTCGCTTTTGGCAGGAGGCGCTCCCTCTGTTTCAAGCGACTTTATCTCACCGAGATGTACCTTCCATAAGCCATATAAAGTTATAACAGAATAGAAGAGCCGGAAGTGGCAGGTACGATTCATATCTACACCAACGGTTCTAAAACAAAACAAGGTTCAGGATGTGGAATATATTCCAGATTCTTAAACCTAAATATAAAATGGGCTATGAGAAGTAGTTCCAGTGTGGTTCAAATCGAGCTCACGGGGATTCTCACATCAGCAAAAAAAATCAACAGAAATATCACTGGAAGAAACATGCTCATCTATACAGATAGCATACAAGCACTATTCACCCTGGACAGACCACAAATTTATTCAGGGTTAGTACTAGAATGTCACAAAGCTTTGGCCGAAGTATCCATCAACAATATAGTCAACTTAGGATGGATCAAAGGTCACGCCACATCGAAAGGCAACCGTCTTGCTGATTTCCTTGTCAAGAAGGCAGCCAACCCAATGCTTTTTGGACCTGGCCCTTCTATTGGACTGACAACATCGGTAGTGACAGGCCTAGTTAAGGAACATTCCCTTGTGAAATTAAAAAAAAGATGGGATGAAACAAGAAGACTTGCCAGGGAGCTTTTAAGTTATCCTGGCAACAATACAGCAAACAAATACTTGACTAAGACGCTTGACGACAGGCATTCTGACTGGACATTGCTAACTACGGAAGCAAATCTATATCATGGGGCTGTCAGAATCTGCACTCTGCAAGGGAATCCAAAAAGGAGATAATACCATTGAGCATATCTTCTACGACGCTCTCATTTATTAGATGTGTTTGGTGAGAAGTGGCTAACACCTGCCCTTATAAGAGAAGCACCTCTTGGCGACGTTGTCAACTACATTAAATCCTTAGGCTGGCTTACGAGCTATCTATATAACTATTTATGTATCATCGACCCTGTCAAAGACAACAGGTCCACAGGATTGTCATAACCTGTCATTACCCACGGACATCATTCTAACAGGTCGTTCGAAGGCCTAATAGTAGGAAAGTGCCATTTCTTTGGTACACATTTGCACAAGGCTAAATTATAAATGTAGAAGGAGGAAACACTTTTCTGCAAACTCACCAGCGCAGCGGTGGAGCGCTCGATGACGACGTCTTTAAAGGGCGTAAGCGTAAGCTCGAAAGTTTTAGGTATTTACCTAGTATATATTAGTATTTACATAAAAGTTTGCTGCCACCTTGGTGGCGGTGGAAAACCTTTAAGTTAAAAAAATGAAATTTTTATAATAATAATATGTTGTATTTCTGTGATAAATATATGTTATTAATGAAAATTGTTTGCTGCACTCGATCTGGTCATCGAATACCCCGGCAGCCAACAAGCAAGAAGGTAGTGTGAGCCAAATTTCAAGAAGGTGACAGCAAACTTTTTTCTGTTAACTTCTGATGTAAATAATATCTGAACGTTTCAAGCTTCCGTTTTTATGACAGCATTTTTTACTGATTTACAGAAAGTATTTCTATGTTCTACAAGGTAAGTATGAACGAAATATTTGTAATTTTGTCTTTCGCACATAACACACCTAAAAGTGTTACTGGCACCCTTATCAATAATAAAAGTTAAATACAAATACTCACTATCAAACGCAAAAATAAAATAACATTTGCGGAGGTGTAATTGGAACTCAGGCTAGGAAACATAACAACAACATATCTTGATGATTATAAGTAGAAGTAGGATTTGCGCATGAGTAACAGAGATCATCAATAATGGTATTATTTTCTTTTTATAACTTCAAAAGATTGACCGGCTTACCTTACTAGGACTAGCAACCACATCTCCTTCAAAATAATTATGTATCTCATCTCGATTTATTTTCCAAAGCAACCCCTCAATTTCCTGTTCAATCTTCCATTTCCTGTAGATACTCATTGTGATGACTCCAAAGCAGAAGAGCATTATAGCCAGAACACCAGCCGCAATGATGCTGTTCAACTGAGTGTTGGGCTTGGGGCATAATTCATTATCAAAACCGCAGCTAGGTTGGTCTTTAGGACGGTTGGTCCCATCTGGCCAATATATTTGAGTATTGCTGTTGAGCTCGTACCGCTAAGAGGTAAAATATATTATTTTATTCATTGTGAATAACGAGATAAGATATTTTTTTAATGATAGATCGGTTTAGAGTTCCGAAAAATTATCCATTATTGATTCGAAAACAAAATATATTCTTTGGAAACTGCCAAATATATAAGATTTTTGTTTCTTGCAGTTTTTAAAAGTTTTGACACTTGACAGTGGCAAATGTGTTTTAAGAGTTATATACGTTTTAGACTAATAGTAACGTTCAAGCAGTGTTAAATAAACGAAATTTATAATTTTTTCAGTACTTTTGCTCTTAAAAACCTTCTAATGTGCTTTATATTTTCTTACCGGAATTGTATTGTTGGGTTCAGAGGACTGGTAGAATTGTCCAACAGGCCTCATTTGGTAGTCACAAGTAAAGTTATCTCTAACATTCTTGTCTTTCGGCACTGAATAAGCAATAACAGAATAATTACCCTCCGAGTCTCCATTTTTGTCCAGTTTCATCATAGCGCCAGTTATACCTAGATAGATGCATAAGTAGCATTAAATAAGAATACAATGATGATACTAAGATTTTTTATTAAATTGTGTTACTTTTGGTAAAAAATTCAAAATCTTGGATACGTTTTTCTCAGATGCCACACATATGCTGTACACGTGGGCGTTGTTGCATAATTTGCCAGGAAGGGCCAAAAAACTACATTTTTAAGAGTGACAGAAAAAAAATCAAATTTCGTCTTTCAAATCCTAGAAATGTCGATTAAACCAGACATAAAGATAATACACACAGGGAAGGATAGGGTGGGCCACCAGTAACGCCTCGGTCTGTAGTGATAAAACTATTTGATTTTTTTAATCCGTTTTCACAACGAGATGTACGAGGTCTGACAATTAAATAACAAGATTGCGCGCGCAGCAGGCGTCTTAGAGGGGTAGGGGCAAAACGAATGCAGCGTTGGATAGCTGGAAGTGTGTACTATTCCAGTATGAAAACAAGGTTTTTGTCGCTGTAGTAGTATTTTTTCTATAGAGGTTAGAAACGAACGTGTGACGAAAATGTGTGACGAATGTGTGACGAAAAACACGAACAACGGATCAATGTGAAATTTCTTGTTAAATTAAAAAGAACTCCGATTGAGTGCTATAAGTTGTTGAAATAGGCCTATGGTGAGAATTCTCTATCACGTACGCGTGTTTTCGAATGGTATAAACCGTTTTCTAAAGGCCGAATGTCAAAATCAAAACGGAAACCCATGCTAATCGTTTTTTTTTTCGACATCAACGGCATCATGATGACTGAATGGGTCCCAGAGGATCAAACCGTAAACCAAACTTACTATTTAAAAGTTTTGGCAACACTGCGAGAGCAAGTTCGTAAGAAACGGCCAGAATTGTGGAAAAACAAGTCGTGGATCTTACACCAGGACAACGCACCTGCCCATAACGCGCCGAGAGTGAAGCGTTATTTAGCCGCTAAAGGCACTCCAGTGCCGAACACGCGCCGTACTCGCCTTATTTAACACCCTGTGACTTTTTCCAGTTTCCGAAGATCAAGTCCGACTTAAACGGAATCTGGTTCGAGTCGATGGAAGAGGTGAAGCGAAAATCGGCGAAGCTCCTAAATGCTTTTACAAAAGAAGACTACCAGCATTGCTTTAACCAATAGAAAAAACGAATGGAATGGTGTGTGGCGAAGGGAGGGGAGAAAATTGAACGGGAGCATTCGATTGTAGAATTTAAAATAAAACTCTTTTTCATAAGCAGTCTCGTTATTTAATTGTCAGACCTCGTATATCAGAAAAGGCAACAATTTAAAAACAATTTTAATTACACAAGGTTCTCCAATAAATGGATAGATATATCAAAGTTGGGTTTTTTAAATGGGACACCCTGTATTTTATTTTATATTTGAATTTCCCATGCTTTCCCCATTGTAAAAATACCAAATAGTATGAGATTATACAGGGTATTTCTCACGCTATAACCAGTTTTATATGAAAATCATATTGATTTCAATGACCTGTATATCGCGAAAGAAACGACTGAAAACAATAATAAAAGGTTTTCGATATTAGTCAACATTTTATGCCGATGTACTACTTTTATTAATTCAAAACAAAACTGTAAAGGGTGAGTCAAAACTCAAATACATAATTTTCTTATTATTTTTAATTGGTTTACCCTGTATTTTATATCATCATTTAAAAGTACCTTAATTAAAGTTTAATTTGAGTTGAGTATTTCCTATACCTTAAGTTAATAATTTTGTAATATTTTTAAATTTAAATGACAGAAAAGATAATTCACAAAATACTTTAATTTTAACTGGCCACTGGTTAACAGGAAATAGCACTTTAGCAACATTCAGTTAAAAATAAATACCAAGTGCAGAAAATCATAGACGCACCCCATTTATAATACCTACTTATTATATTTTTTCTACACCCACATGGATATTAGCTTATCTACGCACAGATTACAAAACGAAAACGTATGCTATTGCCTTCAACTGAACGAATATATTTCATATCCATTATAGGTAGTGAGAATACTGCAAAAAAAATGAAATCCACCAATCACAGTTCATATTTTGATCAACCGACTGCTATTATTTTTAAAATTTTAAGTAAGTGACAATTCTGTCAAACTAATTGTCAGTATATTTTTTAGTTATTGAGATTAAACATACATTAAAATGAGTTATTCTTGTGTAGAAACGATAAATAAAATAATTTATATTTTTATTTGGTCTATAATTATAAATAATTTGTTAATTTAAATAAAACTATATAAAGTCAATTTAATTACGAGTATTAAAGCAAAAAAAAAATAAACACGTAGATGTCCTATGGTCAGGGTTCTTGCCTTCAATACGAAAGATGAAGAAAAATTAAATGAAATTTTTCTTTTTTTCTTGTTTATTTTATAAATTAGTAAAAGTCATAAAGTAGTTTTAAATTAATTATTTTATCTTAATAACCTAAAATAATTTTTAATATTTGTCTATTTTCGTTAGTGGGTCGTAGAAATAATATACTGTACAATGTACTGTACATTGAGCACTCTGCCTACGGCGTCGTGCTCAAATTTCGTCTTCGTGCGATATGGCCATCATATCCACTCGTGTTGCACAAACTACTATTTCCTATTAAACATTAATTAATTAGTTAAAATTAAAATATTTTGTGAATTATATTTTTTACCAGTTAAATCTAAAAAACTTCCAAAATTATTAAATTTAGGTATACGAAATGCCTAACTTAAATGATACTTTAATTAATGTACTTTTAAATACATGGTGGTCAATTTAAAAAAAAAAATGAGAAAATGATTTGAGTTTTGACCCACTCTGTATAGATTTATTTTGAACTAAAAAAAGTAGTGCATTGGTATAAAATGTCGACTAATATCGAAAACTTTTACAGCAAAAAATGGTTTTTACTTGTTTTTTTTGCAGTATACAGGTACCTTATTGAAATCAATACATTTTACAAATAAAAAACTGATTATAGCGTATGATATACCCTGAATAATCTCACACTATTTATTTTTTATAACGAAAAAGTGAGTACTATTTAAATATAGATAGAGATATGTACGTTACCTCTATCTACATAAGTTTCTGTGATGTAGACCTTTCCATCAAACGCTCATTTGTGCAAATATGTTTTCAATTAAATGATATTTAGTGAAGTTCTTTCGTGCGAATGTAATTTCTAGTAAACATTTTTTTTAGCAAATATATTTTTGAGCAATGTTTTTCGAAAAACATTACATATCGAAAATCTGTATCTGTATGGGCATGAACAGGCTACGCATAGTAACAAGGGTCCAAACTTATTGTAGAAGACAGTGAGTGCATATTCTACGAGGAGGAGGAATAAACTTACTTTCATATTCTGACTAAATGTGTGGCAATACAGAATCCAAGGGCATTATACTATGGGACCCACTATAATCCTAAACTATTTTATGAAAATAGGACTGAAAGTGCGATAAGATTATTGCCTTGATATCTTAGCATCAGAAGCGGGCACAATAGATCTTTTAGGTCTCAGTAAACTTTTTTCTTATTGTATCAACAAAATTCTGATACACACTGAACATACAAAGTCCAGAAAGTCTATCTAGAATTAATTTCTGTGAATTTATTTTCCTGATTATTTTAAACACTGCAGTCAGGATCTAGGGAAGGGCACTTGTCTCTCATTGTCCTGCTAAAAGACGCCCATGGCATTAAAAATATTATACTATATATACTGCTCAACAATTGAATTGGATTATTTTGTCTTAAAACTTAATTTGAAAGATAAAATAATAATAATAATAATAATAATAATAATAATAATAATAATAAGAGAAGTGTCTATCTATAGCCGAAATATTTAGGCAATTAAACCGGCTTCAATGGCCTCCCCAAACGTTACAGCAAGGTAAATAATTTGGGAAACCATACCTTAGCACTTACAACGCAGCACATCCGATCAAATACAGTTATAACTTGAAAAACTTGGGTTTTGAGTTAAATAGGATACAAATGCTCAAAATTAAATGGTGCATCATCTCAAACAGTCATATCTGTAACTCCACATATTTGCAACTAGATAGCATATGTCACGGTTTAGCACTGAGACCAGTTTGCTCTTCAGTGTTTTCAATTAGTGTAACATTAACGCCCGTATGCACCGTACACGTTTAATCCAGATCAAGGGTTTAATCGCGTTTAGTACTAATTTAGCTATGGTACTAAACGTGATTAAACCCTTGATCTGAATTAAACGTGTACGGTGCATACGGGCGTTATTAATTTACTTTTTTTAAGTTATAATTCCATTATTTTATCGGAGGTGCGACATGGTATTATTTTTCATCGATATTGTAAATTTTGCTATAAAAAATAGGTTGTTACTTTTTTTCATTTTCTTCCACCTTATTTTTCCATTGAAGATTAGTTTCATTTTATTTATTATTTCGTTAATTTCCATAAAATCATTAATAATTAAACTTTGATTAAATTTCGTTGCAGTTTTTTATTTCAAATATTTCCAATGAATATTTAAAATTTCTCGAAATATCCACTTCAATGGGCCATGTTCACATGTGAGATATGCTGTTTTATAAACTATATTGTAATAGTTAGTCGCTATACAAGTTATTCTAAATAATCAGTTCGTTAAAAAAGCTAAAAGTTTTTAAATTAAGCCCAATTGAAATTTAAAATTTGAAATTATACGTCATCGGGAATAGACCAATCAGCTTGTGTCGAAGTTTTTTTTGTTTTACAAAACCAAGCCAACGAACAAACCTACATACAGAATGTCGAAGTGAACGCACATCTAAGTGACATTTAAAAATTGACAGCTAACCTTAGTTTTTTGTTTTGGTTTAATTTTATTAATAATCTGAATTTATCTGGGTAAATTATCCTGTGGGATATAGGATATATAAAGGAAGAAGAATATGAATTTATCAGCTGTATTTATAAAAGTTGAATCAAGTATTTTTCCCATTGTAAACGAAAATATGATTACCGAGATGATTACTGCATTTTTTAACAATACTCAGTTTCCAAAAGATAGAAAGGTAAAACTTTATTTATAAATTGTTTTAATGGTAGATAGTTACAGTTTATATGAAGCAGTACACTTTATAGTAAAACATATTTATCTCAGGTTTTATTTTTAGATCTGCCAAGCAAGAATATGGAGATATTTACTTTTTCCATAAGAGAGAAGGAGACAAATTACACCTAAACATAAAGTACAGCAAAAACCTTATGATATGGCTGTTTTTTAGTGCACAATGCTTAGGATATGTTGAATCTCAAGGTTTGTAATATTTATTATGCTTTTTTGTTTTTATATCACATATAATAAACAGTGTATAAGGCCCTTTATTCTTATAAATATTTTTTTTCTAATTTTGACATAAAGAGACATTTTTTGTAATCGCAGCAAGTGTTAAAATAATCTAGAAATAGATTTTGTTAGTGAACCTAGTAATAATTATGATACCAAAGAATGCTGCAGAGCACCTATGAAATTTTGAGTTAAAACATGCCATATTTTTAGGCTATTTTTATACCCTTTTCAAAAATTTTATGCTCCTCGTTTTATGCAAAACTTAAAATGCTCTGATAGCTTCGAACGAAGTCAGCAAAGCACCTCTGTTTTATAAAGTTTTTTCTGTAAAAACAGCAACACCATATATTTATGCACTTGAAATATTATATTTTTAAAAAATACATGGTGCTTGCTAACCTTCGAAAGAAGCCAGCAGAGCAATTCGGTTTTTTAAAGCTTTTTTCTAAAAACCACACCCCATTTTTAGACTTTTGAAATATTGTAAAACTTTACTAAAAAAATTGCTATTTTTAAATAATACAGGGTGCTTTGTTGGAACAAAGTCAGTAGGACACTTCAGTTTTTTAATATATAAAAACAACTACTTATGACACATGTTTAGGCTGTTTTAAAATCCTAAAAATGTGGTAAGTATATTTGTTTTCAGAAAAAAAACTTTGAAGTCAGCAAGGAATTGCGAATTTTTTTTAAAAATGTCAAATTTCGAATATTTTATAATATTGTAGGAGCCAAAAAATGTGGTGTGGTTTAAAAAAAAACTGGGGTGCTCTGCTGGATTCGTTTGAAGCTAACAAAGCATCCCGTAATTTTTTATTTTATAATACTCAATAGCCTAAAATGAGACATAGCTGTTTAAACAAAAATGGTACTTTTAAAAATAGCAGTTTTTTTCGAAAAGCTCTATAATATTTCAAAAATGTGAAAATGTGGTGAGCTTGTTTTTTTTAAGTTTTGAAAATCAGAGGTTCTTTACTGGATTCGTTCAGAGCTAGTAAAGTGCTCGTCTTGTTACATAAAATAAGGCATTTTGTAGCTGGTGATATAGTTATTTTGTAACTGCATATCTAACCCTTTTATTTTTTTCAGGAGGTTGTAAACATGTGGCTTCATAGAAGAAGTGAGGAACCATCTGTAACATCTACTCAGTGTTATTGATAATGATGTACACTTGGCTAGATTGTTAAAGAAACCTCTTCATCCACTACAGGAAAATAAATCAGTACTTTTTTATTCTTAGGATTTGTATATATTTTTTATTTGTAAATAAATTGTTTTTTTACTTCATTTTTCTCATTTTTTATTAAAAGGTTAATAAATAAAATTTTCACAGATTTTTATATTTTTGTTTGTAAACAATAATTGAAGTTTTTATTAAAAATCACCAATGTTAATAATAATAACTTAAGTCAATATTATTCTTTCTCCTTTTTTTAAGCTACTATTAATAAAGGTATTACTTTAGCTTGACCTATGATCAATTTTTAATTTTGTGATATATTTGGTTTGACAGAAAAAAAATTAAAACCCTTTGACATTGGTTGTTTTTACTTAGATTTTCATAAAAAATAAACGGAACTGCAAACATGTTTTACTATCGTAATAACGAATAGCAACATGAAATTTTTTTTTCACATTTATCACTGTTGTCATTTTCATAAGAAGGCACACTTTCTGGTTTTTTGAAAAAGGTGGCAAGAATTGTGATATTTTAAAATTTATCACCAGTGATACCACATGTAGTTACCCAATTTATTGGAATATATAGACTTTGCTACCACATTCAACTGAACTTGGTTTTTAATATTTATCACTGTGACATAGGCGTTTTTGTTCAAATGTTTCATTTTAAACTGCTGTAAATAGGTGCCTTTGTTTTGGTAGTTTTAGTCCCAAAAAAATCTATGCATATACAGGTACTCATTCCTCTTCGATTTGCTCGAAAAGTTAAATTTTTATCAAAAATTACATTGGCTGTTTAAAAACTCATTATAATCCCTGAAATGTGATAATTAGGTAAATTAAATTAAAAAACAAACAAAAAAGTTTATTAAATTAATATTTACTCTTACAAAATAGGTTCTTGTAAGTTAACAAGCAATTATGCAGATATTACTAAGTAAATGTACTTGCTTAAAATTCACACACGAATGTGGTTTTAACATGTTAAATTAACTAACCCTTCTTATAACTCTTTCCACATGTATTCTTAGAGATGCTATTCTTTTACTTAATTGTACATCTTCTGGAGAAGTTTTTTCATTCTGTGATACACTAGGTGTGGCTTTACTAAAGTGCATCCCATGTTTTCAAGTAGCTAAATATTCTGAAACCCCTATCTGCCATTATATGGGATCCAGGAACCAGTTTGTTTAAATACCCACATTTTTCTATTATTTCTTTATCACTATTCTTCCACAAAATGATGAATAAATTCGGTATCTTCAAAACTTTCAGGAGATTCTGCATTTTCTTCCAGAAGGGTTTTTAGGATATACACCTAAGAATTTATAGTAGCTTCAATTTCCTGAAGGGGACAATTAGCAGAAATTGCTGCTACATCTTGATAATCCGGTGTATTTTTATTAAAAAGTTTACGAGAAACATCGCTAGTAGAAGGTTGATTTTCTTCTTTCCAAATTTCTAGGAACACTAATAAATATTTTTGAAGATGAATGTGAATTATTATCACATTCTGGAACAAAACACTTTTTCGTAGTCATAATATTTATAAGAAGTACAAAATTAAACACTCAAATTCCAAATAAATTCTTGATCGAGACACTATGATGACAGATGCCATACACAGTGCTGCCATTTTGCCATTTTCTGAATTATTAAGTGACTTTTAAAACAATGAAACTTTAAATATGGTAAAAGTTTAAACAGAAATAATACTTTCAAAAAACATTTGATATTATATATTTAAAAGATATTTCTTTAACGATGTTTTAGAAGTCTAAAAGTAAGAAAGAGTACACAAACGAACGTACATCACTTCTCGTAAACCTTCTAGCCGGCAACGTTGTGCGCTAGCTCCTATTGGTCTATTCCCGGTGACGTCATAAATTTTAAAAAAATTCATAACTCCAGCAAATGAATAGATAAAAAAAAAATAAAAAAAATGTAGTTTTATTTTTAACTCTACTATTCATAAAAAAAATTTCAAAATTTTTGAACATGCCCCATTGTTCAACTGTGTAGAATTTTTAAAATAATAACTTACTTTTGTACGTCCCATTGATTTGAATGATGGTTTCTATAATTTTTGTACCATCACTAGCTATTTCTCGAATGACAGTTTCATTTAAAAATGATTTTTGACTTAATAAATAGTGTAATGCTGAAGCATATAGTTTTACTGAATCGAATAAGTAAGCTGCGTAGATAGTAACAAACTGTAAAATAATTTAAATGTCAGAGAGAGTATAGTCAGTGTATCTACTTAATTTGGAATTATATGGAAAAGTTTTTTATTATTAATTAAACCTAAGATACAACCATCAGATATCAAATTTCAGTCGTATACCTACGTGGTTTGTAAACAAAAATATGAATTTTGTGCAAAGAGGCAATTACCTTTATTTTTGACAATATCGAAAATTGTTGTAAAGAAAAGTTGATTATTATTTAAAAATACATTCTAATATGTAATTATATCCATCTATTATGAAAAATAAGATTTTATTATATCCACTAGACCAGGGATTCCCAAAGTGGTCGATACCGACCCCTTGGGGTCGAAATTGGTTTCCCAGGAGTCGACATAAACGAAAACTGAACGAAATCATGATTAAGTTCAAGTCCAAACATGCTTATTATATTTGACTATATAACAAGCTTGCCATTAGGTTGAAAATTCATTTGCGTTTTAAAATTCGTTGGAGCGTGAATGGTAATACACTCATCTATTAATTTATTTTAAGGCTGCAACTCACCTATATTGAACCAGATTTAGCTAGATTGGTAGAAAGTCACCAAATTTATCAATCACACTGAATTTTGTATTTTTTTTTATCTTTACTTTGCGATTTTAATTACCTACTTAAGTATTTTTACGCAATTTGTATTAATATTTATTAATTACACTTGATAGGAATTTTAAAATAATTTGGTTATGGGGGGTCTGAGGTATGAGTTCATTTTGGAAAACGGGTCTCTTGCCCAAAATAGATTGGGAATCCCTGCACTAGACCATGACGACATTGACTATCGAGATTTCTATACAATTTGATGTGCTAGTTCGCACCAGACGCCATTTCAGGCTCGTTCTCAAATCTTCAAATACCTCTATACAGCATCGATATACATGAGAAGTGCATACTAAGCCCATATCTTAAGTTAAGTTTTCGATGTAGGTTAAGCGACGTAAACCAGAGTATGAAAATTGTTAATTTAGTATATCGTAGATCGCAAATCGAAATCCAAAAAGTCAGAAATATCTGAAATAAGATGTAGAGTAATTTGAAAATTTGGAAACAAATCTCAAAAATCCCCCTACGAATTATTAAGACCATCCCCGAAACCCAAAGGTGAAATCAAAAAAGTCTGTCGTCGCCAAGATTCGAACCCAGACATCTTTGTTCTCTAGCCTTTTCCACTAGACCATGACGACATTGACTGTGTGTGGAAAAGACATTGGAATCGGTTTTTGCAGACAGGAGTCAAGTACAAAAAACTCAAATTAGAGAAAATTAAAAAAGGCTTCTAAATTTAGTATGATATGATAAATATATAATAATATAAAACAATCCTGTTAGAGAAAAACTTATTATTTTTTTGCAAGTGACACTTCTTTGTATTGACTTGTTCCCTTTCTGCGTATAAGAAGTAGAAACAGCCAGATTTTTTAGCGATATAAGAAAACACATTTAAAATAAAAATAAAGTTTTTTTTGCATTACATAAAATACTTGAACTCTTCATTCACAAACTGGATGCACAGTTTGACGCCTTCCATTTTCTTGGCGTTAATTGGAACTTTTAAAGCGGAATAGGCTTTAACTAGCGGAAATGTTGGTAGCAACTTCCCAAAATTTCTAGTTTGTTTGAGATCAAAAATATGGCGCTGGAGTCAATAAACTCTGAAGCAACCATTCTTTACTCTACCAGCCTGCTCAGAGTCGTAAATAAACTGGCTAAATTTACTTATACAAAAAACGTGTTTCTCGTAAAATTACGCCTTTCTTATAAAATATAGGTCACCAGGTTTTAAAATAAAAAATTTCTGAACTGGACACTTCCTTAACCAAAAATTTATTGGTGGTTGAAGAGTTTGCAATCATTTCTGTTAATTGATGTTTCGATCTTTTCGTTTAGTCACGGAAAAATCGCGTTCGCAAGGGAGGAAAGAATGGCCCCTTATGGGTAAATACTGGATTTTTTTTTAAATTTGTCCTAATCGCGATGTAGTGCAAACACCAAACAAAGCCAGTTGTCGCGACTTTTAGAAACAGTTGACTACAGTTTTATGTAAAAAGGAGATCATTTCTGCTTAAATCGGATATTTTAAGTGTCTGTAATATACATAACGTTCCACGAGACTTTCTGTCTAAAATGATTCTTATATGCAAAATAAATACTTTTAACGAAACATCCCGATATAGGTCGAAAATGACATCCTTTTTTTGAAAAACCGATTCATTTGTCTAAATACAAATATGTCTGTGTTCGAATCTCGGCGACAACATACTTTTTTTCAAATCTCCAAGTATTTGTTTTCTCCTTTGGGGTTCGGGGAAGGTTTTAATATTTCGTAGGGGGATTTTTGAGATTCGTTTTCAAATTTTCAAATTATTCTACAACTATTTCAGACATTGTTGACTGTTCGGATTTCGATTTGCGATCTACAATATAATACATTCACAATTTTCATAATTTTTTAACTAAAAATCAATAACAAAAATATTTTCATATGATTCCAACTTAAGCAGACATAATAATAATAATAATAATAATAATAATAATAATAATAATAATAATAATAATAATAATAATAATAATAATAATAATAATAATAATAAAAAATATATAGTTATTACTAACCTTTTCAAAACTAGGCGGCAAATTTTTAGACTTAGGAGGAAAGTTAAAAGGAGGGTTCAAATTATATTCTTGAACTTTGGTTGTAAATTCTGAATAATTCTCTGTCGGTGCAGTTGGTGCTACTACAAAAAGGGATTTTGCTCTTTTTTGAGCGCTACTAAAATCTCCTGTGGCCTTACAATTGTTGTATTTGGTCAATGTTTCTGGAACTAGAGTACATATATTATTAAAAATATAAAGAGTGATCCACAATTAATATTTATAAAGTAGGCCATGACCGACAAAGGCAGAGATCCGAGTCATTTCCGTTATAACTACGCACGACACTGAATTAAATCCAAACTCACACGTAAACAGAAAGTGAAACATTTTTTTTGTGAAAATCTCCATATATTTTCCCGGCATTTTTGGTAGAAATAGAACCATTGTTCCGACAGTCGTTAATATGAAATAACATGGGAAATATAAATTTCTGTATCAATCTTCATTTATGAAAGTTTATTAATTCTATTGATATCATAAATTATTGTATTACTTACTCCATAAATATTGGTAAGCATATTCATCAGAATATGTGTTCGATTCAACATATATTAAAAAATATTCTCCTTTTTCAAATAATTTAGCCGTTTCCATTGCATCCATGAGTTCCACTAAGGCTTTAGCTGTTCCCATAAACACATAAACTAGAAATATGATAAATACTATAACATGCAGTAACATAGGTAATTTTACTGTTAACGCCAACCGTAAAAATTTATAATAATTTCAAAAAATTGAGATATCACATTTTATTATGATTGCTTCCTTTTTGTTTTAAAAAGCCGTTAGTTTTGTTTATATATAAGGTAGGAACGCATTAGGCAAACGCAGTCCCGTCGCATCTCGGACTGTGCTAGTCTCGAGCGCGCGCAATAAAATTTTTTCTCCTATTCTATAACGCATGCATTTCCACTTGAAATTCATCTCGAGCTATACTCGCTCGCATCACGTTCTCTTCTTATCTTTTCCAAAAAAATCTCGGGATACCGCGATGTGATCGAGACTAGCTCAGCTCGCGATGCGACTGACCCGCGATTGCCTAATACGTTCTATTCTTTACTAATGTCAATGTCATTTTTGTTGAAAGAGTTGCTTTTGCCAATAATACGACCATATTGATGAAGGAGAAGTTTTTCGATAAATCGGAAAACTTCGACAGTAAAACATTTTTACTGTATTTTTTAATTACGTGTCTATGAATATGTCATACGGGCGATTATATTTTTCGACTGATTTTAGGGTAAATTTTGAAAAAATGTATCTAATAATATGGAGAAGGTATTTGAGGTAATTTGAAATTGAAGGGCTTATTATAAAAACGTGACAAGCCACACTTTTTAAAATAAAGGCATTTTTATTTCACCACAATAAAAAATAAGGTTACAAAAACCATAAATCGAATGGAACTTCTCCAACAAATTCCATCAATAGTCGAAAAATCAAGTTATTGCATTTTAACAAAGTTGTAGTAGTTTTAGAAGTTTTATAAGTTTATTATAACCTTTGAAGACAATGTTTCCTCAATTAATTATTTTTGTGGCTTGTCATGTTATTCCAATAATTATTGAATAATTATTGGATAATAATAATAATTGAAAGGTTTAAGCCCTTCAATTATAAAAAACCGTATCTATTTGTTTATTTGTTTTGTAAGTAATGCAATGCTATACCTTAGCTACAGAGACAAAATACAACAGAAGTTAAACATTAATAATTTATTAATTAAAACAGAAATACACACGTACATTTTTAAAATAACTATGTAGATTTTTGCTCTTAAACATTATTAGAAAACCTATCTTGTACGCACCTAACAAGTACCTAAATAAGAAGTACCTAAACACCATTAGAAAATCTATGACATTTTTACAAAATTACAAGAAGCGGGGTGGGGTAGCGCACTGGGTAGAGCTTGAGACTTTGGAACCGGGCGATCCGGGTTCAGATTCAATCGGGTGCCAAGTTTATTTCTAATTTTTCTGAAATTAAAAATTAAATTGCATAGCCTGACGGTAATTCCCCACTCGAGCATTCACTGTTGGCTTCTAATTAACAGTGCTGTCCCCATAGTGGAGCAGGGAGACAGTAACAAAGCCTACACACAATATGAGGGTAATAACCATAGCAATGCCAATGACACCTACGAAAAAAGCAAGTACAAGAATTATATCCTACTGGTGTACTACAATATAATTAACAAACCAAAACAAACTTATATATTTTCGAAAAGATCTATGAAAAAAAATCTCATTTAGGGTTAAATATGTTCAGAAAGACCATGCTAAATACCAACATTAAAGTGGCCTTGATTAAATACTATCTACTTAACTAAATTAAAGCAAGAACAAACTTCTTAAAGTAGTCTAGCAATAGCCACGTCATTTAAATTATTTACCATATCTCTTGACGGATAACGAATTCCTGGCTGATGCCGTCCGTATGACAAAAACCATATTACAGAGCAGACATGTCCACACATTCCTAAAACTCGTGCACCTGCTTTGCAAAGACATGCCCAGCCAGTTATTGCGTTAACTCCAATTAGTTGGCTGTTATATTCAATAAAGCATTATTTATCGGTAGCAGCTTGAAACCTTGAAGGTGTTGAGGCTCAGATGAGTATTATCATTTTCGGCATTAGGTTGACGATGTAGTCTTACCAAATAGTTGTCGTTTATATGTAATGTATAACTGTACGATAATTGAATCTGGTATGTACCGAGTGTTAAGTCCTGAATTTCATTTTCCGATAAAATTGGAAAGTCTTGAAGGTCAATAAATCCGTCTACCAGCGGCCAATCAATTCTACCTTGAATTAGGCGTTCATCTCTAATTCTGTCTAATAAATTATTAGGGAGAATCAAATGTTCCAAAACCTTGTCATAGAATGTGTCATCTTCAGGCCCACTTTCATTTATAGTCATAAAAAACGCATTGGATAAAGCACATTACTTTAAAAATGCTTCCAAATGTTTCACATCCGTAACTGTTTGGCACAAATTTCTTAGAAACAGAAATTTATTTTGAAGTCTTTCAAAAACCGCTTCAATTACCCATCTGACCATTGTAATAAGTCTTGATTCATTTGCTTGCTGAGTAGTTAGTTGACGTTGGCCGTTGGGAAGAAAAGGTGACATAAAAACATTTAGTCCCATATTTTGGCAAAATTGCATCGAGTCTCGATAACCGCGATCATATACAATGTTGTCACCTTCTTAAAATTTTTTTAAAAAATCCGTCCTCGTTAACAGCCATAGCGTTAAAAATATCGACGAATCATTGTTTCTAGCATCTGAAGCATGCGGGCTGGTAACATCAATAATATATCCGTCTGGTGCTGTCACAACTTGCCTAATTAGGCATTCCAAACAAATGAATTGCCAGTGGGAAGGTTTGGTATATCTAAGGGTGGCGACATACGGTGTATTCTATCTACTTTACGTAAAATCATGAATAATGGATTACATTTAAATATTTTATGTCAAACACAATAAAAATAATATTTAAAAACCCACCTATACATATCTTCATAAATTGGCAGGCTTGGCGAGTACTACTTCGAATAAAAATAGCGTCCAAGCTGCAAGTCCATGTCGCTACCCCCTTAGATATACAAGAATTTCCCACTGTCACCTATTGTTTGACAGGTCGTTGAAATGCCTAATTAGGCATTCCAAACAAATGAATTACCAGTGGGCAGGTTTGGTATATCTAAGGGTGGCGACATATGGTGTATTCTATCTACTTTACGTAAAATCATGAATAATGGATTACATTTAAATATTTTATGTGAAACACAATAAAAATAATATTTAAAAACCCACCTATACATTTCTTCATAAATTGGCAGGCTTGGCGAGTACTACTTCGAATAAAAATAGCGTCCAAGTTGCACGACTATGTCGCTACCCCCCTAAATATACAAGAATTTCACACTGGCACCTATTGTTTGACAGGTCGTTGGAATGCCTAATACGCTAGTTCGGTGTCATTTTGGTTCCACTGACATTTAATTCTAACCAAACTTTTAACAGAAACATCAAATTTAACATTTACGTTTTTACTGTTTTTAGTTTATTTCTAAATATTGTTTACAGGTCATAAAAAATAGTTTAAAGGTATGTAATTGGTAACTAAACGATTGTATATTTGATGCATGTTATCTTCTTACTTTAGGAATATATTTATAAAAGTGAAAAACGATATAATTTAGGTAAACAAAATGAACAAAACGCACTCAAAAAATCTACTGTCACTTTAATTGTCAGTGGAACTATAATTACATCATCACTGAACTAGCCTATTAAAACGAAACATTGCCACATTGAATTTATTGACATTACTCGTTTCTAAGCATTTAAAAGATTTAAATTTTTTGTCAGGACTGCTCAAATTTCCCTATCAAAAGTATACCCTCCTCTATAATTTTCCATGAGAGTAAGTGAGTAAAGTTCAGTTGGAGTTTGGTGTCCTTTTTACAAGTACGTCTTTCTAAGCACAAAAGTCGTATATAACAAAATTACTAACAATGCTGAATATTTCAAATCAATCTATTTCTATAGGGTCAACATAAAATATTTTCATATATTGGGCACTTCCAGTTATATCGAAAATATACCTCTTAAGTGCATTATTTTAAATACAACACTATATTATTACATTTTTGGATTCCAAGCAGATGTTTGGTATCATGTCCTACACCTAAGTCCATTGAGATAGAATAAAGAGGAGATGCTATGACGATGCTTAAGTGTCCGCACCTTTGTATTACACTTTTACGTCATATGTCAAACTGGAGATAGTGAAGCTAGTCAGTTTTGGTGAGAATAAATACCATTCTTTTAAATAGCTTCATTTAAATGATATAAAATCATTTTTCTTCCGTCAGTCTTCAAATATAAAATTATTGACTTCAAATAAATCAAAATACGATTCAAATTGCCATTTTCATTACACTTTTCCGTCACTCGAAGTGCGTTCATCTGACATATCGCAAACTAGTATTTATGTCGTCTCTATACTTTATCCTATCTCGATGCCTAAGTCTAAGCGTTTTTGACATAAAAACTAAAATATGTCTTCAAAACCATCGAAATAATATGGGATTTTTATTTCTAGATTCTATGAACGCCAAAATAAAAAAATTAAAATAAGTTGCCTAAAACATATTTTTTGGAGAATTTTTTTGCGAATAGTATGTTGCGCATTAGCAAAATAACCGCGAGTGTCTTTACAGACTCTCGATTCCAGATTCACTAACATAGATACTGTTTTTCAAATTGCCTAAAATACCTTTTCCAAATTCGTCATTATCTCTTGGGCTATAACGTCTCCTTCTAAATTTTAGGAGGCTTGCACTGAATGTTTTCTATTACTTTCTAAAAAAATTGGCGAAAGAACGTTTACTATTGGAGCCGTGACAAATTATATTTTTTCTACACCCGTATTATAATAATGCACTTATATGCCCATAATCCGTTTCATAATGATACCCATTATGATACAGATTTTTCATTACGATACAGATTTTTAATCAATAGAAACCTACAATTTTTCAATCAAGCATGCTGTTTGACGTTTGTCCTAGGTTCCTATGTAATTATTTTAGTTGTCAAAACGTATTAAATTTTCGTAGGTAGCTAAACTTCGATAATTATAATATTAAAATGTCTGATATTAGCGATATAGAAGACTCCTCCACACATATCGGAGAAAGCAGAAAATACAGTACAAAATATTTTACCGCAAAAATCTAGGGAAATACCAATACCTGAAGTAATACCATTAATTACAATTTTGTAGAATTTTTTATAGAAATACGAGTAATTACTGTTATTGTGTTCAATACCAATATAAATATAATATTTATAGGTCTTGATTATTTATCGGGTGTAGAAAAAATAGCGTATGCAACTCTCATGTAATGGTTATTAAAACACTCGCATAAACCATACGAAACTCGCCTTTGGCTCGTTTCGTATCCCGGTTAATGCTCGTGTATTAATAACCATCATTACATGATCGTTGCATAATATACTATTTTGTCATACACTCCTGGCTATGTTAATAAATATTAACGGCAGGTAAAATTTTTACAGTTAAATAAAGTGTTTGTTTACTTCTGAAAATCGGTATAGTAATGCTTGGTTCTATTGACGGTTGGCGATAAAAATAAATACAGGATATATATTTAGTATTAAATTGCATATCATAGTCTGTCTCACTGTGATTTTGCAGTACAGTAATCATAGGTTCAAATAAATCTATAAAAATGAATACTCTATACTGACCAATTCTGTCTAAAAAATTTCGGAATTTGTATAATATATCATCTATTATTACCTAATTTTCATATTATGGTGAGTTTATAAGAGTAGATGATTTTCTGAAGAATATTTCAATTTAATTTTATTTTAATTTGAAATTCAATAACTTTCAAGGATTTCGAAATAATTATTTAAGTAAGGATCGGCCGCTCCGAATTATCAACATAGGAGTAATAATTTCCATAGATTCAGCTGACCCTATAATTGCCGTATTGCAAACCTATAGCGAGACAGCCTTATCTAATAGTTAATATTTTCTTTAGAACTTACTTCGTGTTTTATTCTTCGTGTCTTTAATTATGTTGTACCAATTAACATCTTGACAACAAGGCAGATTATTTTGGCAACAACTGTGGGTATCCATGGCCTCTTTGACGAAATTGATGGTCATATTTCTCTGTAAAGCTTCCTTTTTTAAAGAATTTGCAACCGTAGAGTAGTGATAGTCGTATATTATCGAAAATTTTTTCCATTTGTAATAAGTTAAAAGGGAGATAACAGATTTTGTAACCTAAAAAATGTTCGTTATATTGCGATAAGACAAATAGTTAGTCAATGCTAACCTGTGTGTCAGTTGGTTCAGTTCTTGCAAATGTTGGAACGTCTGAAGCTTTATAGTCTGAGCATTTCTGAAAATATGTTAATAAAAAAAAACAAATTAAATTTATGAATAAAATTAAAACTATGGTCACACATCAGCTACCCCAGATGGAAAAGTTAAGCGATACTGGTCAAGCCTACGTTTTTATTAACCACGTCCCGTTTACGTTGGACATCGAGCAACTAATTGGTTTAGTCTATGATATTTCCTACATTTAATCAAATTCATGCAACTCTTGACCAAGTAAATATTTTATTGTGTCGTGGTAAAATTACACCGGCCGGCACACAAAAAAAAAGTTGTCAGTACTTTTGACGGGACCGGTATATCTTTATGTATTTCGACCCGCTGAATCCGACTGAGGCATCGTACATAACACAAAATTATATGAACGATGCCTGAGGTCCGTTTGACCCGTACACCGTCAAATTTTCGAGAAAACTTTAAAAACTGCCGATTTTCGTCATTTTTTCCGGTTTTTCGTCATATTTTTCGGTTTTTCAAAGTTTTCTCGAAAACTTGATGGTGTACGGGTCAAACGGACCTCAGATTCGGATTAAGCGGATCGAAATACATAAAGTCCCGTCAAAAGTACTGACAACTTTTTTTTTGTGTGCCGCGGTGTTAAATATTATTATTATTATATAACATTAGCTCGATCCATTTTTAGAAGAATTGTATCTTAGTGGTAACGGTATGAATCGTCAGGCAGCATGTAATGGAGTTAGGTGTATTTTGTGTTGCGGTCCTCCGGTTACGCTGTGTGTTCTCATGGGACAGTCTTTATTTTTCGAACGCAGGAGAGGATCAGAGATTTATCGTTGTCACAGGATAAAGAACTCTTTCTTCTGTGTCGTTGTCAATAGTGGTTGTCAAAACGCTGTAAAAAAACGAGGTGTGTTGGAGATCCATTGGGATGTGAAATATTTTAATTTACTGTGATATGAGTAATCTATTCTCAGCGGTTGAGTGCAAACTGAGCGCGTCTCCAGGTGGTGGATATAAAAACGGCCAGCATTTCTCTGGGTATCTGGCGACACCCTCTTGTATCTAGCCTTTCCGGCGCATGGGGGCCTCCGTGTCGATTGACATTTCCTTCCCTAGTAACTCGTGGAAATCATATGGATACTACAACACAACAATCCAAAAAGGCTGGACGTCAATGTTTACCCCCAGCAAAGGAAAGTGGGCAACAACGTTCAGCTCACGCACATGAGGCTGGTCAGCGACGCTCACCTTTAAAATAGGAGGATGGATACCGTATTTCACCTCCAAATGACAGGCCCCGGAGAGAATAGAGGACCTCTGGATCTGAAGCAAAGAGGACGAAGAGGGATAAGTTGCAAGCAGGCAGAGCTACTACCGAGCCAAACAAAAGCGGCTTTATCAAGTACTTAGGCAGCGATGCTAGTTCTGTCTCCACAAGATTCCAGGAACACGACGCAACCAGGGACGAGAAAAGGTCGCGATCCGGCACCTCTTCCTAGGTAGAAACGGAAAAACCCAGAGAGGACCACAAAGTTCTGTCTGGGATAAGCTACAAGGATTCAGTCATGAGCCACCTGAAAGTAGCTCTAACAGACAAGGATAACCCTTACATAAGATAACTACCAAAAGTGAGATCCTTGCCAAAAATACACTGATGAGAGAGCTGGACAAAAGAATTTTTTTCCGCCTCCTGCAACAAAACTAAGCCACCCACTTTCAGGTCTTGGACGCCCTCTGGTGAAATCAGAGTAACGTGCGACGATGACCTGACGTTGGAATGGCCAAAAACCAAGTTATCAACCTTAAAACACGGAAAAGAGCAACACTCGCTTTTGTAAGAATGACCGAGTAAAGACTCTCTCTCTCTCTCTCTCTCTCTGGATGCCAGGGGAAGCGCAAGCTGGCCTTGATGAGAAGGAGGTTGTGCTCAGGCGACTTGAGGGGCAAAACTCCAACTTGCATGTGGCTAAATGGTGCACCATCCACCATGAAACCAAAAAAGACCCCAAGGGCCATCTCTTAGGCTTCAGCATCGGAGACGAAGAGATGGGAACCCTAAAGGTCAAATCAATGAGGGAGAGCTATGCGTTCATCTCATGGACTATAAGAGTAAGGGTCGAAAACGAGGCTGAGGGGGCACAGTGAAGATTCCTTTTCAAAGGACCCTCTTCCCCCCAAGTAAAGCCAAAAATCATACAATGTAACTTGCAGCACAAAAGGGTACGGCAACATTATGCCCCCGCCTTGATGAGCTATAGGATACAATATCACTCATCCAGGAACCTTGAATAATAAAAATTTAAGGCCTCAATGATCTAAATGGTTCATTTTTTAGATTTCCCAGCAACCAATAACCTAGGACAGCTATTTACATTATTAGGAAATACAAAGACCACTCAATGGCGCACCTTTCCACCTTCGATTTAAATGCGGTTAGGATGGAAAACGTCATCAAAAGGGAAAAGAAAACGTTGATCCTGGCATCTGCATACCTCCCTTCCGACCCAACCACGCCACCACCTAGCAAAGCGATGGAGGATCTAATTGAATACTGTCTGAACCAGAGGTTTCAACTGGTAATGGGTTGCGACTCAAATGCTCATCACTTCAGTTGGGACAATAAGGATAACAACGGTAGAGGTAATCCACTTTATGAATATATAATTACCAAAAATGTTTATATTTTAAATAGAGGTACTACACCAACTTTCATATCTGGGATATGTTATATCTACCACAGTTGTATTTTTTTGAGTTTTTTACTTACGTAGCTGATCATTGGTATATTTCTGGCTTGGGAAATGATTGCTTCAACATGACAACTACCTTCAGGTCCAAAAAATGCAGAAACACCCTCGCATATCAGTTCTGTCATTGCTTTTGTTGCTAGAACAGTTTCTCCTTTGGTATCATAGTATTTCAAATCTAAAGTAATATTCGGAAGCAGATTTGGATCATTGTTTACCTAAACAGAAATATTTGTTAGTATATTAAAACAAAAATTTGGATAGGGTTTCATAGTTAAGATGTTGTTTTGAAGAGAAGAATAAATCCATTATTATCCTTCGCGAATGAGTAAAGTAGATAAAAAAACTCGTTTCAACTCATTACTCGATAATAGTGGTGAAGTCTGTCTTGGTAATGTTGGTGGCCTATATCACAGGTTGCTTCGCGGATGTAAGATTTTAGTAGTGCAAGTAAGGATAGTTGGAATAGGTGGGGCGATATGTGATTTCAACGGCGTTTCGGAGATTGTCCTTACTAATAAAGATAAATAAGTCCAAAACAAGTTGGAATTTAATACGATGTTAAACTTTAGCCTGCGAAGTACCTAGGTGTTTTCTGAACAGCGTCAGTCCTAGTCCTTGATTAGAATTGAGCGAGATTGTCTTTCGGCGCCCTTTGGTCGACGGATTCACATTACATAAATTGTATTTCAATTTATGGTAAATAAATAATAATTAACAACTTTTTCAAAAATCAAATTTGATCGCAATAATCAACACATTAAATTTAAATTAAGTAGCTCTCATTATTAATCTTCTGATTCTTTAACATAAACAAAGTTTTTACCACTATCTATATATAAATAGGCAAAGACAAAATAGTTCAGTATTATGGACAATATTACATGATCGGATAGATAATCGTGAAAATAAAAAAAAATGTTCTCTTAATTCTCCTACAAGTTCCTTCCCTCTTCCTATGCCACGCCTAAATGGTAAGAGAGAGAAAAAACTAATAGTGGGGCTATAGGACCCGTCTGAAACGATTTCAAAACACCCAAAAATCACGTCGTACATTGCGTCTTACAATCAAGATTTGGGCATGAGAAAGCTAAGTGCTAGGTGAGTGCCGCGTCTCTCAACACATTTTCTACAAATCTTTCAAATATCGAGCAGGAATTACAGAGTCCGAATGACATGACATTGAATTGGCACAGTTCAGATCTGGTGGTAAAGGTGCTTTTTTCTGGTTTATGTCTACCTGCCAATAACCAGACTTTATCCATCAGTGACATAATTAAGCCTTCGTTTCTTCAAAAATTCATTTCTAACATTCTGATGATTTTGGGAACATTATTGGGAAATGTAAGTAAAGCTCGAACTGTTTCTTTAGCTTTTCTATGAAAATCGCTAATAAAGAATGGCTATTCACTAAATTTTTCGGGAAAATGTGCCAAATCTCTCAACCTTTGATCAAAGAGAACTTTATTTAGATTTGCAGTATTTTCAACACACTGCTTCGCAATATTCAAAACTAAATTATGGTCACTGTTTTTGTTATCATTTTAAAAGGAAAGAGAGTTGTTTAAATTATCATTAGCTAGCTGATAATAAAGAAATGACTGTAGTAGGAACCTTTTGAGAGAAATCAGGAGGTTGTTCTATATTAACAAATTCAGAATATCGACCAAAAGAGAGTTCAAATGACCATTTATCAGCAATGTCTATAGTCTAGTAATTTTATTTGCAGAACGTAGTACAGGTTCAAAAGGTAAACATTTATTTACACCTCATCCTTCAATGCATATTTGTAGTTACAATAAAATTTTAATACATCTGATTTGTATAATAAAAGTTTTCGTTGTTTCCATGCAATCTGAGACAAATAAAATAGTGTATTAAGAGCGGTATCCATGTATTAAAATTGACTTAAAATAATTCCAAGTTTCCAGTCTTATTTTTTAATATTTTTTTTTTTATGAAATTTGGCATGCATATTTATATAAAAGCATTTTTAATATATCTGTGGACGTATTTTTATTCAAAAAATATAATGTTTACTTCAACTATTTTCTTTTCTACAAATGTAGCAATGGAAAACTTAATAGACCCTATATTATAATAATAAACCTCAGAAAAATGATAATGATACCAGTAGTTATAGTGAAGACAGTGATTTTTAAAGATAGTTCTTGTACTTTTATTTTTTTTTTTAATCTTTGATTTTATGTACTAAAGTGTTACTTTTAATGCCAAGAGAATAAAAAAGTTTTAATCTTATTAACAACATATAATCATCCTTGTTATTTATTGGTTAAATTTTATTCGTTCAATGTTAAAGTGCAACAATTTTATATTCTGTGACCTTATTTTCGTTATATTATAGAAACTTACTTTGCAAAGTACCTCTAAGAAATGTGACGTTATATCCCCACTTTTACTGCACTCCTATTTTATTCAGACTATAGACATGTTTAAACGAAATAAAAATATGTTTGTCTTATTTTTATACCTGTGGATGAAACATGGATACATCACTATACTCCGGAGACCAAGAGCAATCAAAGCAGTGGACCAAACGTGAAAAGTGTTTCGGAAAGCCAAAGGATTAATTTTTTATTAATTACTTGCAACACGAAAGGAGAATGGCAGGTGAATATTAGGCTTAGTTACTAGACAGATTGGACAAAGCTAAAAGGCCTCATTTGGCATAGAAAAACGTATTGTACCACCAAGATAAAGCCCCGTCTCACAAGTCTTTAGTTGCTATGGCGAAACTACACGAATTACGATTCCTCCAGGTACTATGTCCCGTTCGATTTCTTCATGTTTTCAAATCAAAAGAAATGGTTAGCTTGAAAGAAATGTTCATCGAATACTGAAATCAACGAAGGTTTCAATAGTTTCTATTTTTGAAATGAGTTGAACTAAATGGGTAAAGCTGTATGGAGACCATTAGTCGAGGCAATGAAGCACTAAAAAGGCCAAAAGTTCAGAATTTTTTAGAGTAAGACGGATCAGAATGCCGTTTTTAGTATTCGCTTTCAAAAATTTTTTGGAAAAATGTCCCTATATTATATTTTATACAAACCGGAAATTGCATTGCTTGCAGGCAAAAATGCATTCAAAAAATGTATTTTTTGAGACGGCTTTTTGGAAGATTAAAGAACTTTGTAAATAAGAATAAGAGTCAGAACTGGTCTATCGGGTTCTCGGGAGGTTTTCGAGATTACTGATTACGATTATGATGTTCAAATTTACCCACAACCTACCTGGAGCTCAGAAATGCCGATGAACGTCATCTCCGTGGGACTCTCCCACGAAATTCATGCGGGGCAGGAGAGAAACTCGTCGCCCAGGGGGTTTTTGGGTCGCTGATTTCAAAAATAGCAATAGGCGAACACCTCCGGATACCTGGTGTGCCGGAACCTGAACGTGGACGTCATCCTCGAGAATTTTCCTGACAAGATTGCAAAAACAACCCGAAAATCATTGTCGGGGAATTTTTTCTAGCGCTAAATCCAAATTTCACGTCGAAAACGACCCCCAAAACACCTGGTGCACCGGAACCTAGACGCGGACCTCATCTCTGAGTTTTCCTCACACAATCGAAAAAGACGAACCCAAAATCGTTATGGGGTGTTTTTTTGGGGCGCTGAATCCGAATTTCACGTCGAAAACGACCCTCCTAACACCTGGTGCACTAGAACCTTTATCTTGACATCGATGTCATTCCCATGAATGTCAACCAAACCTGATGTTTTAGAGACGGACTTCAATACTGCAATAGCTGTGTGGAATTATTGATTCTAGTTAAATTATGTGAGGAGGAAAGAAATCGAATGAATAGAAAGTCAATATTTATGTAATTGTAATTTTATTGAACTCAAATCAAACACAATCTAACTGTAACTTTACCTTACCTCATTAATTAATAACTTTAATTTTTAATTCAAATCACGTATTTAGAATTTTGCAGGTCTGGATTAACTTTTTCGAGGGTCCCAGGCGAGAGTTACACATCAATGAATGTGTGAAATTATGAGACAATTTTAGGTTAGTCTTTTGCGATCGTGTCTGGAAATCCCTTGGAGACGACGTTCAGCATGATCTTGTCAGGAAAATTCTCGGGGATGACGTCCACATCCAGGTTTGAGCGTCCGGGAAGTGTTCGCCGATGCCACATTTGAATTCAGCGCCCCAAAAAATCCCCCATAACGATTTTCGGTTTGACTTTTTCGATTCTGTGAGGGACACTCATGGAGATGAGGTCCGCGTCCAGGTTTCGGTGCACCGGGTGTTCAAGAGGTCGTTTTCGGCGTAAAATTTGGATTCAGTGCTCCAAAAAAGGCCCCCACAATGATTTAAGGGTTGTTTTTAGCGATCTTGTCAGGAAAATTCTCGGAAATGACGTCCACGTCCAGGTTCCGGCACACCAGGTGTTCGCCGATACCATATTTGAATTCTGCCATCCAAAAAACCTGCGGGCGCCCAATTTCTGTCCTTCTCCGCATGAATTTTGAGAGTGTCCTACGGAGATGATGTTCATCAGCATTCCTGAGCTCCAGGTCGGCTGTGGGTCAATTTGAACATCATAATCGTGATCAGCGACCCCTAAAACCCCCACGGACCCGATTTGGGCAAGTTCTGACTCTCAATTACAAAGTTCTTTAATCTTTTAAAAGCAATCTCAAAAAAAGCATTTTGTTGAAAGCATTTTTGGCTGCATCATTGCAATTTCCGGTTTGTAAGGGATAAAAAGTAGGGGCATTTTTTCCAAAACATTTTTGGAAGCGAATGCAAAAAACTGCATTCCGATCCGTCTTAGTCTAAAAAATTCCTAACTTTTTTGCTTCAATGCCTCGACTATATGCAGAAAAATGAATACAATTTCCCCAAAAATTATTTTTTTTCCATCCCATTTTAGAAAATTTCCGATCAATCCTCGTATTTAGTTTGTTTAACAGGATATACCTATTCGTATACATATATACTATATACGTGTAATGATATCTGCATTGTTTTAATTAGATCTCTTATCTACTTCAGGATTTCAAATTAGTAAAATTGATCCTACAGTAAATACGATTAGAAAACTAATCTATCAGTGATAAAAACTGATATTCGGCATACAGAGCCTAAAAATATAATATATTTTTTTAATTAAACTTACCTCGTCCAACGCCATCTTGATAGCTCCAGAAATAGCCAGACCTTGTCTTCCATTCATCTGTCCTTTGACAGCTGCCAAATATCCCACATTTAATATCGTCCTTTTAAATTCGTCAGTCTTTTTTAGATCCCCAACCAGAAGCCCCTCTTTAGCAACACTATTATCAGTCACTTCGTCAATAACACCGTCTATGTTATTTCCATTAATTTCCTCCTCAGGCGGTGAATTCCGTGTCAAATGTAGGTTTGACAAAGAGTAGGGGTGATTTTCATGGACAGAGGCGTGATTATCTTCGATATGGGCACGACCTTCTACTAAATTGTTAGAAGAATGGAGTGGATCGAGAGGCAGAGGGCGGAAACTAGTAGTTAAAGATGAGTTGCTTTGGGAGACGAGGGGGTCATCCTGTGTCGTGCGAGTAGCGATGGCATAGGTGGAAGGCGTTCGAACAAGGATGCCCAGCGAGACGACCAGCAGAGAAGCCAGGCCTAGGCGCATGGCCAGGCTCCTCCCCCCTCACCGGAACTCCAGGATCACCTGCAACAACCAATAATGCATATTTTGAAATGTCTTTCTAACAAAAAAATATTAAGTTAAAAAGTACAATAGTTTTTGAGTATATTTTTGATTAAAAATTGTATTTATTATAGACAAGCAAGTGCTTACAGGTAATTTACTTGTTTGGGCAATTTTCTACCCAGTTTATAAATTTGCTCACCCACTAGTAAAATAGGTAAATATCAACGACAAGCAACTACTAGACTAATTTTATTTACAAAAATCGGATTGCAAACATTCACGGTGTCATCCGCAAGCGTCTAGTACCGGAGACAACTTTGATAGCACTGTTGACATTTCAGCAGGTTAGCAGTGTCATTCATGATCGAATCCGGGCATTGGTTTTTTATTTTTTTATGGCACTGGATATTGGGTCTTGTTTAGGGGTCGATTAAATGAATAGTCGATTATTATATATTTTTTTAATCGATAATCGATTAATCAATTATTTTCGACTAATCGATTATTTTAGAATAATCGATTATTTTCGAATAATTGATTATTTTCGATTATTCGATTATTTTCAATTAATCGCCTTTAAAAAATAGTTGCCTAATCGATTCTCAATATAAATAATATTTGTTTATTACCACTCTCTGAATCTGATACTTCAAAAAAATTATTTTAACACTTGTACTTTTTTGTGGTCCTGTATATCTAATCCAAACCAATTTCTTTTTTTTTATACAGAAACTTTTTTAGAAATTAATATTCCTCTTTGTTTCGAGCTGGGCCACTCAAAACCGTCTACTCTTTCTATGGTCTACTCTGTTATTTGGCAGGATTCATTGGATTTTAAGAAAATGCTTAAACAGGTTGATTTCAGTTTGGAGGGGGATACTTTTTTTTCTAATTGCAGCATCGACACTTCAACCCTCGAGCAGTAGGGATCAACGATTTAAATAGGAAAAGTACTTAGGATAAAACTGAAAATTTAATTTGTTGGAGAATTCGGCAATATGATTATTCATTGCGTTACTTTTGATTTTAGCGCTGTCTAGCTTGATAAAAAAACTATTATGTATTTGAAAGTTAATTTTATTACTACCTAATTCAATACACCACATAACTTTAATCTAAACATTTTCATACTGCACTTGCAAAAGTCTGAAAATTAGTAATTGGATTATTGTTAACCTTATTTTGTTGCAAGTGCAATATGGAGGTTTTTAGATCAATTTTATGCGATGTATTGAATTAGTAATAAAATTAGCTTTCAATTGAAGTGTCACACTTTACAATACGTATCAGTTTTTATCAAACTAAAGGGCGCTAAAATCAAAAGTAATGCAATCAATAATCTTATTACTGAATTCTCCATCAAATTACCTTTTCAATGATGTGTCATCCTAGATACTTTGCCTATTTAAATTGTAGGGGTTGTTCACTCCACTAATCAAGGGTTAAAGTGCCGATGCTGTAATTAGAAAAATAAAGTTATTATTTATTAAATTGTTTTATGTAGAATTAATGTATAGTTATAAAGTGTTTAAAGTTTGTATATATACCAAAACTCTTTTGATCATGGAACAGAAGCAGAGCAAATTACGCTGCATTAAGTGTGAGAAGACATTTAGTAATTTGTCGAATCTAAAACGGCATATTAAAGGCCTTAATCCTGGAGAGGATTTATATTTGAAGAAAATAGAAGAGAAGAAACAATAACTTCCTTATGATGTGATTTTTGTGATAAAACTCTCAGAAGCACTTTTAATCTAAAGAAGCATTTAAGAAGACTTCATGCTGAATATTCAGTTAATTCAAAAAAATAGACGGACATGTAAAAAATCCTTGTGATTTGTGCAAAATAGTTATTTATGTATCAAGGGCGTAAAACAGGCGTTTATGGATCGCAACGTGTAAGTAAAAGCCAGAGCCGCTAGGCGAGGGCTATTAACACGTAAGGTCCATAAACGCTATTTACGCCCGAAATACATACAAAATTTTATGCACGACCTTTTTAATGATAATTTATTAATATACAGGGTATCCAATTAGTGAGCAATTGTTCAATATTTCAATTTATGTTATATACACATAAAAAAGTTTTATGGTTTTGAAAATATTTTTGGATATGCGTTTTTGTCTGGCAAATAAAAATTTAAATTTTTTAAACGAAACACCCTGTATTTTATTTTATTTTTAGATTGGTTTGGTAATACTGTATTCAACCCTAAAATGTTTTAAAAAAATTTTACAGTGTTGCGAAGCAATTAATTTTTTTTGAAATTAGAATAATAATAAATTAAATTTTCATAATTTAGGTAGGTTTACATTGATTTTAAAATTGCTTAACGTACAGACTTATAAACTACTAAGCTAACAAATCGTGGTTATAGAACTGGTTTATTTTATAGACTCTCTGATATGTGCATAATAATAATAATAATAATAATAATAATAATAATAATAATAATAATAATAATAATAATAATAATAATAATTTAATAATAATAATTTATTCACAAAAGGTACAATTTATAATAGACTTACATATATAAAAACTGGGTCTGTACGTAGAGTGTATAAAATTATAAAAACTTATATTTAAGTTCAATTTAAAAAGGAAGGTTAATAACTAAAAAACTAACACTAAAGAACATATAAAAATATAATGCGCGAAAGAAAGTATTATTAAATCGTGAGATGTCGAGGAGGATCTTAGAATAAGACTCTAAAAAGTATTAAAAATTGAATCTTCTATTTTTTTTTTTTTATATTATTCAGTAATTTGACTGGCCTTTTGATGAATCCAGTTTTGAATTTCTATCCGGGGTATTTGCAGAAGCCACAAGTTTAGTTCTTTTCAGCTTTAGGAATATGCGCTTAATTTTGTGTAACAGCTGTGGTTGAGTAGGCATGACTAATTTTTTTTAATTCAGTTTTATGAAGATATTGATATATTAGAACGATTTTAGTGAACCAGTTTTTGAATATCCATTATTTTAGTTTCTAAAAATAAATCATTTGAGGAATATCTAAATGGTTTTTTAAAAATAATTTTAAGCTATTGCATAGATTTTATCGCGGGCTTTGAGCGCGGCGACCGAATCAAGAAATTCCGTAACGAAAATAAACCTAACATCCTCAAAAAATCGAAAAATCGTAAAATCGAAAAATCGAAAAATCGAAAAATCGAAAAATCGAAAAATCGAAAAATCGAAAAATCGAAAAATCGAAAAATCGAAAATAAATTCAGTAACGAAAATAAACCTAATACCACCACTCCGACCGGCACAGCGGTGCGGCGTTGTAAGCTGTGCATCGTCTAACGTCGTTTCAATTCGGCAGACTTCGGCATGGTGTTTGTGTGCGTGCGACTAGACGTATGCGTGTAGACTAGCTGCTAACTGCTCATAACTGATTCTATCTCTTTTAGACACAATTTCGGAAAAATTGAATTTGAAAATGAATAATGATCCACAAGAATCCACAACAAAATATGGGATCACCGTTGACGCGGTATTTTCCAGATATTTAGAGGATATCAAGTCTCAAACTTATGTTTCTTATTTCAGTTACCATAAACCTATAGTTTCAATGATAAACATTCCTGAATAACCTACATGTATTGTAAGATAATAAAAATATTTTAAACAATATTAACTTCTCATTTATTCAATAAAAAAAAAAATTGTTTTCTTATCGGTCACCACGCTCAAAAAGTGTAACTTGAATTAATATCAAAGAAAAAACTTGAATTAATATCAAAGAAAAAAATACTGCATAAATAAAATAAATAAATAATTATAATTGCATAAGTTAATAAAAAATGCTATGCAATAGCTTTACCGCGGCAGTCCCAGAGTGCCACACGTATTTTTTTAATAAAAGTTTTTGTACTACTTCTACGTCATGTAAATGAGTCTCTAATGCACTTCCCCATGCTATGAGGCCATAAGAAAGATGAGATTCTATTAATGAATAGTACAGAACTCTCAACTGTGAATCATCCAAAATATTACGAAATTTCCTAAATTTATACAATAAGCTTCTAAGTTTTTTTGTAACATACTGGCATTGATTATCCCATTTTAAATGTTGGTCGACCATTACTCCCAAATATTTTATGTAATTAGTATTTTTAATTTCTATTAATTCATTATTTATACAGAGTTGAATCATACTGTAGTTTGGTAAGTTAGAGGAATATGATGTAAAAGCTAGATAGTAAGTTTTGGAATAATTCACAGTTAACAGCCTGTCACTAAACCATTCAAACACATTTTTTAGATCTGACTCTACCTTATCCTTCAGAGTATTCCAGCAATTATCATAGTAGATAATAAGTGTATCGTCAGCAAAACTAGTGAAACTTCCCATATTAGAGGTACAATAAATATCATTTATGTATAAATTAAAAAGTGTTGCTCCTAAAACTGTCCCTTGAGATACACCACATTTAAATGTTCTCATTTCACTTTGTTTTTCATTTATCCTAACGCATTGTTGACGAACACTCAAGTAACTGGTCATGAGATTGTTTACTATGCCTCTAAAACCAAAACATTCCAGTGTGTGGATAAGTTGAGTGTGGTCAACCGTATCAAACGCTTAGCTAAATCAACCATAAATACCAATTGCGGGTAATGTTTTGTCTATATGATTTGATATTTCGGATGTAACCTTAACAATTGCATCTTGCGTTGATTTATTTGTTCTAAAACCAAACTGTTTATCTGAAAGTAAATTAAATTTTGCCAAGTAATTATCCATTCTGATTTTTAGGATTTTTTCGAATATTTTTGCTATAGTTGATATTATTGATATAGGTCTATAATTGCTCACCCTCATCATATCTTCACTCTTAAACAATGGTTTTATTGTATCCACTTTAAATAGATCTGGAACAGTACCCTTTGTGAAGCATAAATTAATTAACCAAGCTAAGGGAGTTGAAATGTATTTAGCTATTTCTTTTAAAGTTTCAGCTCGTATTT